AACTTTAAAATTAGTTTGTTATTATTCACAAAATAACTTGCTGGTAATAGGCTTGCTTTTTAAACTAAGAATTTTGCTTTTTAAATTGAGATATTTTTATATTTGTTCCTATTCCAAGGCCTCTTCTTTTTTAGGTGATCATCAACATTTTTGTTAGCCATTATAAGAAAATAATTATTAGAATTGTATGGTACTTCGTTATATTTTTAAATATAAATCTATACATAAATACATGCATGTATGTATATAAGATTGTGACTATAAAGTACTAATTTTTATTGTTTAAGACCAGTTCTTGGGGTTGAGATGGCAGCAGGCTGCTTTCACAGACTCCATTGGGGTCTATCTAATTTTTGTTTGTTTTAAAAATATTTGTGAGGTTAAATACTATTTTTGTGGTATTGGCCTGTTTTATGCTTTGTACCTTGTTTATTCATGTCTTTTGTCCAGTTTTCAGTTTGGAGATGTGGGTCTTTTTCTCATTTTATTAGAGCTTTGTAGATGGAGGCAAAAGTGATTAACCCTTTAAAAGTAATTTTTGAAATTTGATTTTTTTAATGCAGATATTTGGAAGATAAGTCTTTATTTGGATGCGAAATACAGGTTTTCCTTAAACTTTCAGCTTTATTGGCAAATTTCTTTAAAAATATATATATATATCTACACTAATAAAAGAGAAACATGCAAATTAACTGCTACTCCGCCACTCCGCTACACCCACAAGCCACGCCCACCAGCCAATCAGGAGCAAGTATGCAAACTAACCCAACTAAGATGGCGGTTAAGCCTCAGCCAGAGGCCTTAGGCCTGGGCAGGGGCGGAGCTGGCGATGGGAGGGTCTGGGGGTCCCCTGCCCAGGCCCCGAGGTTTTAAGCCTGGGCAGGGGATGAGCCGGGTATCTGTGTGAACTACAGAGGAAACACCTTTTCTGACCACTCATTGGCTAAGCTCCCTATATGCCACTGGTAATATTCTTAGTAACTTGGGTAATAAGAATCCAAGAAGGTGATCTAGGGTTTTTCCACCACACTCCTGGAGAAAAAAACAAAGGTCTGCTGGTGGAGGGCTAAGAAATGTCATATCCTGCCCTAGCCAGTTTGGCTCAGTGGATAATGCCTTGGCCTGCCGATGGCAGGGTCTGAGTTCAATTCTGACCAAGGGCATGTACCTAGTAGGTTGCAGGCTCCTCCCTGGCCGGGGCCCAGGTCAGGGCTCATGCAGGAGGCAACCAATCAAAGTGTTCCTCTCACTTTGATGTTTCTCTCTGTCTTTCCCTTTCTCTTCCACATTCTCTAAAAATCAATGGAAACATATCCTCAGGTGAGGATAAAAAAAATAATAATAAAGAAAGAAATGTCATATCCTATGAAAGACACATCTTGAAAATGCCTAAAGAAAGTTGTCATTTTTTCATGGTGAAGGGACTGGAGTCCGTGTTGATGAAAACACCTTGGTGGCTGCGGTGACTGGCAGTGGCTGCAGCAACGGGGTGATGGAGCTGGTGCCTTCCCCTGATCAGCCCGGTCACCCCCCACAAAGGGAGGCCAGACTGCGGCTTAGGCCCGCTCCCCAAGGGGAGCAGGGAGCGGGCCTAAGCCGTCAGTAGGACATCCCCTGAGGGCTCCCAGTATGTGAGAGGGGGCAGGCTGGGCTGAGGGGACCCCCCCCCCCCCGTGCATGAATTTCGTGCACCGGGCCCCTAGTATATATAAAAAAGCCTAAGCAACCTTTACGACAGAACAACCGGAATAACTGGTCGCTATGACACACACTGACCACCGGGGGCAGACGCTCAACGCAGGAGCTGCCCCCTGATGGTCAGTGTGTTCCCACAGTGGGCCAAAATCGGCAGTCCGACATCCCTCTAGGGGTTCCGGATTTCAAGAGGGCACAGTCCAGGCTGAGGGACCCCAACCAGTGCATGAATCCTTGCACTGGGCCTCTAGTATGCAATTATGATAGTTAGTTATTTATGCTTAGTTTATGTTTATGCTTTTTCTGTAGAAGATAGTAATGGTGAGTTATTTGAGAGATCAGTTTAACTAAAGTTTTTTTTTTCCATTTTGAAGATACTGTTCAAAGGCTAAATATCAATTTAAAAGTTTATACTTCATCAGAGTCTAAACTTTAAGTACTTAGGTCTATCATGTGACTTCTTGGTTAGTTGCATTTATTGTAAAGTTAAATTCAAAGAAACCTTTGTAACTGTTAGGATCTCATGAATCTTAATTAAAGACTTACACATCTTCATTAAAGGAAAAAATATATTTTGTAACTGCTTACATAAGTCAGCCTTGAATATGGTTCATCTTCATTTTTATTTCTAAAATATGTTAAAATTCTGGAAACTGAGTAGCCTTTTTTAATGATTTCTTACGATTGTCCAACATAATAATGATATAAAATATAGCGTATTCTTAATGTTTCAAAATATTTTTTAATTTCAGATCTCTTTTTTTCCACAATAACATTTGTTAATAGATTTTCTTCTTTATAATACACAATGTTGGATCATGGAACAGAGTAAACAAATAGTTCATTGTTTAAAATAGTGTACACTGTGTTCAAAGGACTGTGAATTTTTGAATTGTTCTTATATAATTTCAGTTCTGTAATATAATATATTATACTTTAATTTGATGTGATGCAAAAATATTTGAGGTGTAATATTAACAGTTTGTAATATTCTTTAGATTATTATTATTTTTAATAAAAATCATGTGTGCCTAATTTTTAATCTTAAGCTTGGAGGGACATACTCTATTCTGTGAAAATATTAGTAAATAAAGATAATGAATAGGGCATGAAAGGAAGCCAAGTGTTTGGAACTTCTGTCTTTCAAAAAGATTTTTAAAAATTTATAAATTATTTTTTTCTGAACTGTCTGCCGTAACCTGACTTTGTATTACTTCCTGGAATTTTCTGTTGAGGTTATCACAGGTCACCTTTCTGTATCTTGATATGTACTGTGTTTGGTAGAGTAGGTTGTTTTAGTTGACAGAATAATTCCTTATGAGTTTGGAATGTATGTATTTAGAGCAGCGGTTCTCAGCCTTCCTAATGCTGTGACCCTTTAATACAGTTCCTCATGTTGTGATGACCCCCAACCATAAAATTATTTTCATTGCTACTTCATAACTGTAATTTTGCTGCTGTTATGAATCGTAATATAAATATCTGATATGCAGGATGTATTTTCATTGTTACAAATTGAACATAATTAAAGCATAGTGATTAATCACAAAAACAATATGTAATTACATATGTGTTTTCCGGTGGTCTTAGGCGACCCCTGTGAAAGGGTCGTTTGACCTCCAAAGGGGTCTCGACCCACAGATTGAGAACCGCTGATTTAGAGTAAGCTTATTGTCCTGTAGTTATTTAGACACATACACAGAGACAGAAATGAATAATTACATGCTGTTTCCCTTTTCAAGGAGGGGGTTACATATAGGACAGCATATGATAGGGCAATATCCATAGATCAGGTTGAGGTGGGGAGTACAATCTCTCAAGTTTTCCATAAAGATTCTAGGGCGAAGGGGATGACATAAGGCCCAGTGATGACGAACCTATGACACGCGTGTCAGAGGTGACACGCAAACTCATTGTTTTGGTTGATTTTTCTTTGTTAAATGGCATTTAAATATATAAAATAAATATCAAAAATATAAATATTTGTTTTACTATGGTTGCAAATATCAAAAAATTTCTATATGTGACACGGCACCAGAGTTAAGTTAGGGTTTTTCAAACTGCTGACATGCCGAGCTCAAAAGGTTTGCCATCACTGACATAAGCTGTAGTTAGAGAATGTGAAGGGTCTGTGTTATGCAGTAGGCTGGAAGAATGAGGGAAGGATAAACTGTAGATAGAAATCCAAGGTAGGCTGCCCAGGCAGTCAAGAGAACAGAACAGGTAAATATAAACAACATGCAGTGGTGTGCATTCTTTTTGTGCCACATCTGGCGCAAGGTACTATTCGCCAGGCCCAGTGTCATCCCTCACTGAGTAAATGGCACCACTGTCCTCTGAGTGACTCAGATAGAAATACGGAGTCATCGTTCATTCCTTTCCCTCACCTTGATATCAAACCCACTAACACATGGCAAATCTCAAATCCTCTTCCTTCTCTCCTGTGCCACTGCCCGCCTCTTAGCCCACGCTGTGATCTCCCCTGGGTTTATGCAGTGGCTTCCCTGATTCTATATTTGCCCTCTTCCAATCCAGAGGATCCAGAGAGGTCTTTTAAGGAGAGGCCAGCTTCTATCCCCCTGCAAGTTAATATTTCACACAGAATTACAATTGCATTTAGAATGAAATCTAATTTCCTTATCAAGGTCTAAAACTTTGATCCCTGACTGATAATTCTGACTTCATCTCACATTGCCTCTCGCTGACTACATCCCTTGAGTTCAGGCCACACTAGTCTTCTTTTTGTTTCTCAAACATTCACACTCAGCATTGTGCTTTCTGACCCTGATGCTTTGTCTTGTTGCCTCTTTTTCATCATTTAGATCTTAATTCAAATGTAGCCTCTTCAAATGAGGCCTTTGCTGAGCATGCAAAGTAGCATATTTCAACTCCTAACCCCATCTCTGTTTCATTTACTCACATCTCTTTTATTTCCTTAATTGCATGTGACTTTATTTAGAATTCACTTATTCAGTGCCTATTTATTGTATACCTAGTATATGCCATGCACTGTTCTTGGGGTTCATCAATGAACATAAAAGACAAGGGAATCCCTGTTCTTATGGAATTCACATTAATAGGGTAGAGAGAAAAACAACACATAACAACCATGTAGCTAAATTATAGTTATGTTGGGCAGTGTTAGAAGGCAGCAAGTATAATAGAGAAAAATAGAGTATGGTAATACAGATTGGGAGATGTGGAAGCAGGTCAGAGGTAGCATGCTTACTAAGGAGGGTGGTTATGGTAGGCCTAATTAGTTGATTACTAAAGTAGAGTTCTTTATTTTTTTCTCTTAATTTTAGCTTCAGCACCAGTCAGCAAAGTGAATAAGTACTGTACTTCTTCCAACTTTCATTCCACATTGGGGAAAAAGAATATCATCATGTCAAACATTACGATTGACCCAGATGTCAAGCCCGGTGAATATGTCATCAAGAGCCTCTTTGCAGAATTTGCTGTTCAAGCTGAAAAGAAAATTGAAGTTGTAATGGCTGAACCCTTGGTGAGTAGAGCTGACCTAAAAGTCTGAAATATTTTCTGGATTTTTTGTATTAACCAATACAATACAAACTTTGCAAATAATATACCTTGAAAAAAATATTAAAGGAAGCCAATCTGAAAAGGCTACATACTATATAATTCCAACTATATGACATTCTGGAAAAAAGCAAAACTCAAAGACAGGAAAAGATCAGGGGTTGGGTGTGGGTGGAGGAATGAATAAGCAGAACAAAAGGGTTTTTAGGGCAGTGAAAATATACTTTTATGCTACTACAGCGGTGGGTGCATGCATTAAACATTTGTCCAGGCACATAGATAATAGAACACCAAGAGTGAAGTGAACTGTGACGTAATCAGTGGACTTTGGATGATTAAGATGTGTCAGTGTAGACTCATCAGTGGTAACGAATACACCACTTTGGTACAGAATATTGATAATGGAGGAGGCTATGCATGTGTGAGCAAAGTGTGTATGGGAAGTCTCTACCTTCGGCTCAATTTTGCTGTGAACTTAAAACTGCTCTAAAAATAGTCTTAAAGAATTTAAGGGATGGGTTAGTACCGTAGTCCCCCTCTCCCATGGGGGGATAAGTTTCAAGACCCCCTATTAAATGCCTGAAACCGGGAATAGTACTAACCCCATACTGTATATACTTTTTCCTACACATACAGTGGCTGTGGGACCACACTGTTCTGCCTCTCCACTCCTCCTGACGGTCTCTAGGTGGTTTTTCCTGTATGTCCTTAGTTATAGGACTACATGATGATTGTTCTATAGTTGTTATTTTGATGGGGTCTTGAGAGGAGGCAAGTGCAGTGTTTACCTATGCCGCCACCTTGAGTGAAAGCCCAGCATCCGCTTTGATAAGTTGCTGCAGGTCACAAAAGAACAAAATTAAATTTTACCAATGCCAATTGTTGAGACAGATAAAACCTAAGAGAAAGTAAAGGAAAATCTAGACTATTCTGAAACTTAACACCCGGCTTCAGCAATTTTCAACTTGCATAGCACATTTTTAAACACTTTATCTATTTTATATAATACTAGAGGCCCGGTGCACGAAATATGTGCACGGAGGGGTGGGGGTGGTCTCTCAGCCCAGCCTGCACCCTCTCCAATCTGGGGCCCCTCGGGGGATGTCCGACTGTCAGACATCCCTCTCACAATCCAGGACCGCTGGCTCCTAACTGCTCACCTGCCTGATTACCCCACAACTGCTCCCCTGCTGGCCTAATCGGCCCCAACTGCCCTCCCCTGCCAGCCTGATCACCCCCAACTGCCCTCCCCTGCTGGCGTGATCGCCCCCAACTGCCCTCCCCTGCTGGCTCGGTCGCTCCCAACTGCCCTCCCCTGCTGGCCCGATCACCCCCAACTGCCCTCCCCTGCTGGCCTGATCGCCCCCAACTGCCCTCCCTTGCTGGCCTAATCGCCCCCAACTGCCCTCCCCTGCCAGCCCGATCACCCCCAACTGCCCTCCCCTGCTGGCCTGATCGCCCCCAACTGCCCTCCCCTGCCAGCCCAATCACCCCCAACTGCCCTCCCCTGCTGGCCTGATCGCCCCCAACTGCCCTCCCCTGCCGGCCCGATCGCCCACAACTGCCTTCCCCTGCCATGACCTGCCTTCTCTGCCAGGACCTGCCCCTTCCACATGAGGTGGCAGAGACACTGGGACTAGCCTCCTCCGCGCCGCGGGACCCCCAGGCCTCACCGTGCGGAGCAGCCGCCAGGCCCCGCCTCTGCTGTGTGTGCGGCCATCTTGTGATGACATCACGCGCGAGGGCCACCTAGGCTTTTATTAGTATAGGTTTTCTAAATATCACCATGTGATGTCCTATCAGCTCTCAAAATACTATATTCTTAAAGGAATTTTAATTTTGAAATGTGGAGATCTTGAGAGCTAAAATATTAAAAGGAAATATGAGTGAAATTACCTAATTTGTTTGAGTCTCTAAATGATATTTCTGTATCTTTCTCCTTTCTTTTACTTCCAATGCCATTCGTACTGTCCTAGCTTAGGGTCAGGTTCTGTCATATTAGACCATTGCAAGAGCCTTCTAACTGGTCAGAAAGTGGTCTATTTCCTTCCCATTTTTCTTATTTTAACTGGACTTTTCTTTATCTAATACACACAATTATCACTATTCTGCTTTAAAAATCTTGCTCACTTTTCATTGTTCTGGAATAAATTCAAGTTCTTGTTGGGTCATTCCAGCCTCTTTACACTCTTGTTACAGTTTGCATAATGTCTCACGATTCTCTTATCCTGATGGATGCTCTGTTTTTTAAAAAATATGTATTTTTATTGATTTTAGAGAGGAAGGGAGAGGGAGAGTGAGATAGAAACATCAATGATGAGAGAGAATCATCAATAGGCTGCCTCCTGCATGTCCCACAAACTGGGCATGTGCCCCGACTGGGAATCGAACCTTGACTTCCTGGCTCATAGGTCGACTGACCACTGAGCCATGCTTGTTAGGCTGTGCTCTGTGTTTTAAAGCTCTACTCATCCTTTGAATTTCCCATACATTCCCTTTAACATAGTGATTCTCCTCAAGCTAAATGAATCTTTGTTTTACCATAATAATTTGTTCATACTTCTATATTCTGACATTACCTTATTAGTTGTTCATATGTTTATCTCCTCTGACGTGAGCTACTTGATACAAAGAGCCAGGTCTCACCTTCCTTTGTATCTGCAGCACTGCCCATGGTAGCTGATTGGCAGGAGGTACTTAGTAAGGATTTGTATTTTAAGTTGACTGTAGCCTTAAGAACTTTGCTGTGATGTGTGCCCTTGGTTTTTCTAATAAAACAATGTTAACAGAGCTTTTCATAATTCTTTCAGAATACTAGTCTGATGCTGACTATATTTATTCATTCCTTTAATACCTAATTTCAGAGACATCTGCTTGGTAATCTAAGGTGAGATTATAAAATTATGGTGAATAGTGGTGAGGATTCCATCAGAAAAAAGGTGTTTCTACCCCATCATCACACTTTGGGAGAAGTGCTGTCTGAGCTTACTCTTTCTAACACTCCAGGAAAACCCCCAAAGTGGTGGTCTCCTGCAGCCACGGACAAACACAGGCTGAGAAAATCCCTATCATATTTTAACAGATTTTACCCCCTGCACTCGTATATACCAGCATCATTTCTTCTTATCAGATCTCTTGCCAGCTTTGTTTCATGTATGTCCAAGTCTGAGTAAACTGAAAATACATTTAATATCATATTGTCACAATATTTTTATTATAGCTTCAAGTGCATTTATTGTGATTTTATTTATTTTGAAATTTATTCTGTATCCTCTTAGGTAATACACAGCCATCCAAGAGGACTCTCTTGAATTCTCAAATGAAACTCTTGTAGGGTCACTTTAAATAAAGTAGCACCCATGGAGGTTACCAGAAAAAAAAAGTAGCACAGTTATAAATGGCTTTTGCTAAAAGAATTTAATCTATCACTAAAATGAGAGAACGGGCCTTTTGATTCTCATTAGAAACCATAATAAAAGGAGGTTAAAGAGGCCGAAAGATGGGAAGATTAGCTGAGCTTGACTTTTAGCCACAATTTCATTTTTAGTTTGGAAGAAAGATTCAGGAAGGAAGGGCAATCATTGATTGAGGATAGCAGCTTGCAGACTATGCAATCCAATACCTGAGGCTCCTTTCTTCCTAAAAGGTGGTAGATCAATCCTGGGTAATGATCCAGGCGTATCCAAGCTCATCTGTTAATCTTTTAGATTGCCAGTGACTAGAAAAGAAAAGAGGAAAAAGCTTTAAACAGTCACCTGCTGATTTTGACTTTAGGCCCAGGATTTTTACAACTCTGCAATTTCCACTATGTTTTGAGAATATTAAATATATATGCACTTTTAAAAGATTTTCTGCTCTCTGTATGATCTCTCCTTTCCTCCAAACTACATTTTTCTGTTAGTTTTGTCTTCTCCTCTCATGTTTATTGAAACATATTTTTAATTGTAGGAGAAGCCTTTGTCTAGATCTCTCCAGAGGGGTGAAGATCTTCAGTTTGACCAGGTATGTCAATTTTAGGGGACTGTTTTATTTTTTTCTGAAAGGAAAATATTTGTCCTACCAGTCTGATCCAAATATATCTAGTATTAAGAAATTCCCGTATATCTAGATTCAGCCTGTCGTTGGTAGTTTGTTTATTTAACAAAACAAATAGAATGAACTATGAACTGTGAACTTCATAATTCTTAGAATGAGCTGTGAACTTTATTGATTTCTGCTCATTCAGTATTTTTAAATGTTTTACTTTTCACTGTTAATCTCTTTGCTCTGCCCTTTTAAATTTTCTCAGAAAGTCTCCAATTACATCCACCAATCTTTTCTTGTATATCAATTCCTGCAATTTCTGCATAATAACATTTTACCTTGTAACATTTATTTTTTCCTGTTGGGGCTGTCAGAACCTTTACAGAGAAGCATCCAGCCTACTTCCCTCCCTCTTTACCTCCTCGAAGCAGAGCTGGAGATGAGGCCTCGGTCCTGGGGACGATCCCAGAGAGCAGGCTTGGGCAAGTGAAGCGGGGGGAGGAAGAACTGATGGAAGGGAGCACTTGAGAGGTCTCTGCTCTGGGGGCTCCATCCTACCTCTGAGCCTTACACAGATGTCCCCAGAATTGTCTGTCTGCAGCTCCCATCCCCAGTGGTTGAGGGCTGCCCCAAGAGGCATCAGCTACATCCCACCCTCACACTTGTGCTTCTAGCTGTGCTTGTGCAAAGGCCAAGTGGAGCCTCTCTGTGTCAGAAAGCAATAGAAGCTTGAAAAGATACACAGTGACCAAAAAATTCCCCAGCCCCCTTTATATAGAATGCTGATGTCTAAAAATTAGTGTGCTATTTCTCTAATGTTAATTCTTTTCTCTTGCTGAGATTGTGTTGCTCGAGTGTTATTTTTGTCACAATTATGTGTGCTTAATAATTGTTTTACTATATGTTGATTGTTTGCAAAAACCAATAACCTGGATTAGCTTTCTGTTGCCATCTAGTATTCCTGAGTACTTTTCTCATAATTATATATCTAGGAAATAGATTTTAATGTTCATGAGTACACTTGATTAGATAACGATGGCTGGTTAGAATTACTTGGTGGATACATACCGTTTCTGCATCTTGCTCCAGTGTTGCTGAGTCTAAGTAGCACCTGTATTTTACTACAGCTCCCTAGGTAATTCTGATGCATACATACAGTGGATAAATAGCTGCAAATCTAAGAAGAGACCATAAACAGGAAGCTAGTCCTCTATTATAGTAGTAACCAGATCACCTCATATAATGCTTTTCACATCTTAATGCCACTACAAAGGTATTACTACTAGTAACTACTAATTATTAATGTATTATTAATAGATTACTTTAAAAGTATTTAGATTGTTTATAGCTTAAATTCATATTACTAATGATGAATGAATGAATATAAAATCAGAATTAGAAATCCTGTTAAACAAGGTTTTAAGGAAAATTTCCATATGTTTTCTTATGTAATTGATTAACAAAACTATACATGATCATGCATCATAGCTTGATTTTTTTTCACAATAAAAAGCTATGTGTGCTTTAAACTGTATTAATATACATTTACAGTAGTAGATGGTGTTTTATTGTTCCTTCATTATTAACAGTGAACCATATCCTCCTTTTAACAGAGACGGTTCATTGTGAATAAAATATAAATTAAAAATAGTTACTTAAAATTAGAATCATGTTTTACTTTAATTCCCTATATTAGACACTATTTACCTGTCAAATTATGGTAATTTATAAATAGAACCCCGATTAAAGGAAGGCAGAGATAATGAAAAAGAAAACAGCCTATGCAATCAAATAAGCCATTGCTTTTTTTTTTTCTACTTTCCTGGATGAAGTACATTCTGAAGTTAGATGATGAATATAAAATATTAGGAGAATCTAAATCTTCATTACTAGAGTTATCATGTTATCTTCATTAACTTATACTTCCTGTAATCCTGCAACTGAATGAGACCTTGAGTATTCCTGTTTTTTAGTTAAGAAAAGCCAAGTGAAAATTGTTGTGCTATATGCTGATTTAAGAATATTAATTTAATGAGCAATGAGTTGAGTCAGATACAGAATTTCTTATGAAGAGAGGGTGTTTTTCTTGGGCTGCTCAAGATGAGGTGACTTTAGGGACTGCTGATGGTAGCTGGTGTACCTCTCACCTCACTACAGGCAAGCTGCCATCATTCATGAAATGGATCTGATATTCACCTACAATACAGGTAGTTTTAGAGGTGCCTCAAATTGGTAGCAGTTGTTCATCTTACTACATTATCTTTATGCTGTCCATCTATATCAGCGGTTCTCAACCTGTGGGTCGCGACCATCGGAAAACACATATAGCATATCAGATATTTACATTATGATTCATAACAGTAGCAAAATTACAGTTATGAAGTAGCAACGAAAATAATGTTATGGTTGGGGGTCACCACAACATGAGGAACTGTATTAAAGGGTCTCGGCATTAGGAAGGTTGAGAACCACTGAATATTCTAAGCTATAAAAGCTTGTGTACAACACATTTTTAATGTTTATTTGTATCACAAATTGATTATTTAATTATAATTTTGTTCTGTATCATAGCAGTACAGAGTAAATTTGAGCTTTTCCATACTTCTAACAATATACTGTAGTCTTCGTTGTTTCTCTATCTGTTTATCAAGTCTAGTGGCAACATTTTAGAACCTTTTGTTCACATGAGGAGAGAGGAACTGGGCAGGGGAAGGAAGTAGAAGTGTTGATTTTCCTCACATGTTATGCATAATAGTCTCCCAGAGGTACCCATGTGTTTAATCAGGGATGTTATTGGTGATCATGTGAGGAGCATGTGGAGGCAAGGAGAAGGTAGAAAGCCTCTGAACTAAACAGAATGGATTTGGGTGAATTTTGATAGTGGGAGAAACCCCGTTTACTGCTTGACTATATCCCCAGCTCTCTCTCTCTCTCTCTCTTTTTTTTTTTTAATTTTAAGACCTATTTACTGCTTTCAGTTGCTCTGTTTATTCTACTATGTTTACTCTAGAAGTGCTTATTATTTTTAAGTGATTGCTAATAGTTACTAGCATGGTTCTTTGATGTGGTATTTTATCTTCTGGCATTGTCTTGTGTTTTCAGTTGATAAGCTCTATGAGCTCCGTAGCAGAGCACTGTCTCCCTTCCTTACTTCGCACCTTGTTTGACTGGTACAGACGCCAGAATGGAACTGAAGATGAATCTTACGAGTATAGGCCTCGATCTAGCACAAAATCTAAGGGGTAGGTGGCTCATTTTCCACTGTTCTGGGATCGAAGCAATTCCAGTGAAGGGGGTGATCGTGTTATCAACTGGAGATGGTTATTATTGGGCTTCTAAGCAATAACATTGATTCTTTTTGTTCTGAAATGGTAGTGAGGGGAGAGGATAGTCCAAGCGTAACCTGTAAACCAGGTAAAGCAGGTGCAGCCATACAGTGCTCATCACTGGGACTAGTCGTACTAAACCAGATTTCGGGAGTGCCATTTCAGTAATTGTGAGGAGCTTTAATAATCATAAAAGAAATTAAGAAAATATTCAAAGAAGGTCCTGTTCACATGGACCAAGGATGTGATACAGGATGACTGTCAAAACCCCGTGTTATTTACCATGACACCCTTTTTGGTGCTCAAGTCCAAGAACACGTCTTCTCCTTTTTCAGATTTCCTAGGGAGATCTTGGCTTTAGTAAAACATCCGTCTGTGTTCAGGTGATGGCCTATGGTTTAGAAATGGACTTGAGTAGATGCCACTTGTGTTTTTTCGTCTTAGATTTGTGAGAAACTTACCTGGCACTGTAATTTCTTCCGAAGAGTTATTTTTTTGGTTTCAGTTCTTAATAAAAATATACTAATCAAATATGAAATAATGTTACATTTTCTAAATGAAATTTGAAATACTTTTCTTCCTTTTCCTAATTTTTTAGATTAGGTTTAATTTCTGACAGATATAATAGTGAAATGCGTGTATAGATTCCTAATTTACAAAAGAGAGGAAATAAGAACATGTAATATATACAGTGAGTTACTAGGAAAACTTGTACAATTGCTGTAGAACACCATCCATATTGGGAACTCAGTGAATAATTTGAACTAGTAGCCAATACCTGTTTTAAACTTACATTCTTCATGCAGTCCTAACTTGGGCTTCTTGTTTCAGGGATGACCAGCAACGTGAAAGAGATTATCTTCTTGAGAGGAGAGACTTAGCAGTAGATTTCATTTTTTGTTTAGTTTTAGTTGAAGTTCTAAAGCAGGTAAGTGCTGTTATTTCCGTGAAGTTGTTATTTCTGAAAAGTCTGTTTTTCTTATTTTGCCTTGATGTTTCAGTTACCTTATTTAGGATGTATTGTCTAAAACTCTGGTCCACATAGACTGCATTCCTATAATTTAATTATACCTGTTTCAGTTGCCTGAGGCCTTCCTTTCCTGTACCTGTCACTTCGTTCCTTTTATGTTTGTATGCCATCCAAGACATGAAGTCATGTTAGCAAAATGGAGCTGAATAGAAATTTGTGTTACAAATGGGCCGTTAGCTGCAAATATAGTATGCCTGTCATTCACCTACTTCAATCTTTTTTTACTTCCACTTTCAAAGAATTTCTTTTTCTAAGCCCTCAAGCCTGCATTTCAACATGTAATAATTTGTGCAATAATAGTTGAGGGATGGGGATTATTTGACAAGGGTAAGACTGAGTTGGCAAAGATGACCCATAGATTTCCAGCCATGCACATTGTAGTATTTGGGAAAAATTTAGGAAATCTAAAAGAAAAATTATATTTTGCATATTACATGTTTGGACAGGGAGTTTTCTATGTTATGTAAAATCAAATAGAAGATATAATGTGGTAATGAACAGGAAATGAAAGATATAAAAATTGATAGACTATTTTTTTGACATAGCCAATATAAAAATAATTGGATTGTGTAATCATTTATACTTTGCCTTTGTTTTTTTTATAATGTCTGTGCAAAGTCATTGAAATCTGAATATCTGAAATCTGCAAATAAAATAATTAAAAATCTGTAAAATGAAAAAATGAGTTAGTCACGGATAAAATCACTTTAATTTGTACCCATCCTAAAGGTTTTTAGTGAATGTGGGATAGAAATTTCTTCTGGGAGTTGTGCTGACAAGCCAGATTTCCTTTTTGTGACCTCCCAGTTGAGCTGGGATCGTAAGACCCTGCGGTAACTAGGGATAAGAGGAGCCCTGGCCACACAGCATGAGTGGGCTTTACTGGGGCTCGTTGTGGTTGATCCCTAGCCTCTCATGTGAGCTAATGTAGCTCATTTAAGTGGTTTGGTAACCAGCATCTGCACTTCTTTGCTTAGTTAAACCGTATAGGGTTTCTCCTTCCAGCAGTGGATATCGCATACTCCCTACACTGACCTTCAGGACTGATCTGTCTCCTCCGTGCCTTTTCTCCTTTGTTTCCCATGACATTCTCCTACTCAGCAATCAGTCTCTTGCCTCACCTAAAAGCTCTCCCTGATTGCACTGGCTTCAGAACAACACAAGGACAACCCCCTGGAGTTGTCTTTCTCTTCTCCTCCTTCTTTCTTTGTCTTTTCCCCTCCTCATCATTTTCATCCTCTTTCTCCTCCGTCTCCTTCTCCAAAATAATCCAGACAGCTCTTCTGGTAGAAGCAAAGTTAGGGTCTGTAAACGTAAGGACATTCCTTCAGTGGGCTCAGTTTTCCACTTCCTTCCACAAAACCCTTTCCGATCCTTGGTTCACATGGACTCAAAATATGAGAAAGGGGAATACAGTGGCTCTGACAGCTAATCTTTGCTTTTGGTGTGTCACTACATTCTTTCAACCTATTGTTCCCTTGTCACTTTCCCATGTCTCTCTTTTACCATTATCCTCATACATTCATTCAAATGCACCCATCAAAGGGTAAAATACATCACTAAGAATATAGATACACTGTATTTAAGATCTTATGGAGGGGTTTTTTTTTTCTTCCCTAGTAAAAGGCATCTTTTTAGCTTCTTAAAAACTACAGAAAATGAAGTAAAAATCAATACAACTTTCTGAAATCTCATGACAAACTAACCCAATTTTCTTCACTGTCAAACTGATGTAAGGTTTAATAGATCCAGAGAGCAATCAATGTACTAGATCTTGAATTTAATAAGACTTTTACTTTGTCCCACATAATATACACATATTAAAATGTGATTTAGACAGGCCCCGAGAGCATTGAAGTATTGATACATGGATGGTTCGGTCTTAAGGAGGAGTAAATATTGGAAATTATTTGTTTCTTGAGTAATCTGTCATGTCTTCAGTGATAATCGCACATATTTAGAACTCTTCATAATGCATAAAGACTCTATGTCCTTCGTATCAGCTGGTCACTCTAATAGGTTCTGGGAGATAGTCGTGGCAGGTGTTTTCGTCCCAGCCGTGTCATTTACTTGCTGTGTAACTTGGCAAGTTATTACCCACAAACTCTTTCTCCTCTTTGAAGGAGGGATGATATTTACCATGTTTTGTAGAATCATGAGAATTAAATACAATAATTTCTGGGACATGGAAAGTGCCCAATAAATGTCATCTGCTATTTTCATTTTACAGGTGAAGAAATGTTCTTAGTTGTAGGGACTTACCGAAGATTATAAACCTAGTTCACTTTTTTACTCCAAGTTTTCTCCCTTTAATAATAAAAATAAATTGTTGGTAAAATCAGAGATGTGAAGTTAGGTGAAATGACCAGCATCTTGTAGAATTAAAGTTTTAATCATAACAAGTTAGATGAAGAATTAAGTTAGCTAAATGTGATGAAATTAGTGTGATTCAACTCACTGTGGGAACAAAATGAACTCAAGATATAGATAAGTAATTACATTTTTCTAAAAAAGAGGAATAATTTTGGGGTCAGGGCTGACTACAAATGTTACTGTTAGTACAGGGGCTTTAAAATCCACAATGAAAGTATGATTAAACAGCAATGTAGTGTTTAGCAAGTTTGAAGCAATTTTCTTTTTATGTTGAATTTTAGTCAGATGTATTTATTCATTGAAACAAACAAGAAGATTGGGAAACCAGGTTGGTGAGTCATTTCAAGCTCTTGGCTTAGTTTTATCAGTGCTGTTGAGAATTATCAGAAGGTGGAGTAGTCCTTCAGTATTTTCAAATTTAACAGTACCATTTTAGATGTTGATAAGCAGCTCTAGATGTTATGGGGTCATTTGTAATTTTGCAGAAGCATGAATTTATTCTCTTTTATGCTGAGAACTGGTCTCTTAGGTAATGAATGAGTCTCGTTGATGCCCCAGCATACATATCTTAACCTAGTTTTGTTGTTTTTCACTTTCCTGATGTGATAAAAGAATTAAATTTTGGGAGGTGGTAGTGGGAATAGTCTTGGACTAAAAATGGGTATTCTCTAGGATGTATGCTTCTTGAATGCTCAGGTAGAATTAGAGCTGCTTCTAAAGTCATGCAAATGGCAAAGATTTGAAAAATTCTTGACATTAAAGATGGGAATATTATTCCATTTGGGGTGATTTATTTGTGTGTTTTTTTTTTTTACTATTGAAAATAAGGGGAGAAATAGGTAGTTCAAAAATTTCTGTGCAGTCTGATAATGTTCATTCTTCATATAAAATTTTTAGAGATTGTGCTCCCCACCAAATTAAAGATATATTTCTTCTTTCACTTCTGTTTCTCTTCCAATATGAAAAAACTAAGTTTTCCTCTCATTTTTTTTTCATTTACTAAAAGCATTTTTTGTATATCAAACTGGGCCCAGAGTAAATTCTAGAGAAGTACACACCAACTTCAGAACTTCAGTTCCCTCACCTGTAAACTAGGGGACAAATATCTACCTTGTAAGGCTATTGTAGTAAATACTGTAAATAATCTAACCTGGCACAAAGACACATACAGAGGATTGGTGGTGGCAGTAGTAGGGCAGTAATAAAGAGGATGCAACATGACTAAGTAGTGTCCCCAGCTGCCATTGTTAGACTTAGCACATAACTGGAGCAAATAAAGACTGTTGAGGAGGAATTACAGGTTTAAGTCCCCTTGTGTTCTGTATCTCTAGCGTAGAGCACACCACACACCACTGTGAAGAAATCAGTGTCTAAAACCATAACAGTGCAGTAAGTGGGGCACAAAAGTTGAGTCATGTGAAATGCAGTGTTGCATCATTGCAAGGTCAGGGAAATGTCTTGGGGGCCTGTCTGTTGATTAGCGCTGTCCATTCTGGAATAAGTTCTGGGAGTCAGGCACTTGATCCAAACATAGCCCGTCCCCTAGTGGGGATGTCTGCTCTGTCCTCACTGCCCATGGGGTCATCACAGGACTGACTGAGAGCTACACAGAGGACCACAGCCGTGAGCCCTGTAACTTCTTTTGTTGGCCACTCCAGGGAAGATGAGGCTGGAGAACATATCTGTCTCCCTGCTTCCCTGGTTGGCTCTGGTTTCTTGCCATTTTGTTTCCTCTACTAGGCCTTATCCTCAATATCTAGTTCCTTCGTCTCCCCTACATTCCCAGAGGTAAGAATTTTGGCCTGGTCCCTTTTAGAGAAGGGTGGGAAAGGTGAGAGGACAAGAATCAGTCTCCAGTGTGATACACCAGATTTTGCATTCTCTCAGGGCTAGTAAGTATAGGGTTCTACTCTGTTATCTGCAATTTACAGGTGAGGGAGTGGAAACTTCTGGGAGGATACATAACTATTGAAAAGAGAAATCTTGGTTTGATTAGACTAACCCAATATCCATGGTCTTTCTATGCTTTTATCATTCCAATGAAGAAACCTTTTCATTTATTGTGTAATAGTTTGGTTATAGTTTATCTGTAATAAACTGAACAGCTTAGTGTGGATTTGAGGGAGCACTTTGGGGATACTGTTTTTAGTTCTTAATCTGAGATAGATTGTGTGGTCCTAAAAAGGGGTTCTTGGGGTACCAAGTAAAAGATTGCCATGCCTCTAATAGCTGGTCAGCCAATATCTGGAAATTCCTGTATCAATAAGGTTTGATTGTTATACTTTCATAATGTTTGCCTGTTAGAGGTTGAAAAGCTTCTTGTAACTATCCAGTCAATCATAGAATCCTAGTTAAGTATCCGTAATGCTAGAGAAGTCCTGGGTTAACATTTCAGTTTACCTGTGCGGGACCAAGGTCAATAAGACTCTTCTTCCAAAGTATCTGAGTTCTTGAACTTTGTCATGCAGAATAAATTCAGTTTCTGCCCCATTGTTAACATGGGATTTAAATATCCCAGCTTCCACGAAGCAATGAATGAAAAGTTCATGTCTTTCCTGTATCATCAGGTTACTCTTTCTTTCTTCCTTTCTTTCTTTCTTCCTTTCTTTCTTTCTTCCTTTCTTCCTTTCTTTCTTTCTTCCTTTCTTCCTTCCTTCCTTCCTCCCTTCCTCCCTTCCTCCCTTCCTCCCTTCCTCCCTTCCTCCCTTCCTCCCTTCCTCCCTTCCTCCCTTCCTCCCTTCCTTCCTTCCTTCCTCCCTTCCTTCCTTCCTTCCTCCCTTCCTTCCCTTCCTTCCCTTCCTTTCTTTTTTCTTTCTTGTTAAAAGTATTACTAGTACATATGTCTCCTTTTTCCCCATCAACCCCTCCCCGCCCACTCCCACCCCCCAGGCCATCAGGTTATTTTTAAAATGTTCTCTGAGACCTAGAAAGGTAGAGTTCGGATTTCAGCTGCTTCCTCCCTTAATCCCTATTTGATTTTGGGATGGGGCAGTGTAAGAATCCCCCTCATCATGCATTTTCTTCCCGTTGGATTCCAGGTACAGGCCCTTGGGACAGTCGCAGTTTCTAGGAAATGAGATAAATGGGCTTTCTCAGCCTCCTCTGGTCCACAGTAAGCACTGAGCCAGCTAGCCACGATGAGGCTCTCGGATAGCCGTCCGGCCTGCAGTGAAGGTTCCCCAGGAGCCTTCGAACGCCGTGTCAGTTGCCATGCCTCCCTCTGCTTGGGACAGCAGTTGAGAAGTTGTGTCAGTGTTCTCAGTGTTGTCAGAATTTAGTCACGGTCTCACTGAGATGAATAAATGGAAGTGAATACGTGTTAGAATTCTTGTCCCTCATTACTACTTGTGTGATTACTCTTATCTAATGTTTCTCTCGTATTTACTAGTTTAGAATTAGTTCCTGGTCATTATTCAGGACGAAGTTTAATCCCCTCCTAATAGACTCCTGGTTTACCTTTGTAAGGAGTGCACTGTCTTCATTTTAAATAGCTCTCTTTCAAGCCCTCAAGAAGCATTCTGACCATCTCTGAGTAATTAGAATTCTTTACTATATTTTCCCCCAGTCTAGTTTTTTGCTTTCTTGGTTATATTTAATATTCGATTATAATTTCATCCTATTACTGAGGTGTTCTAGAATCTGTATTGTTAAAAATTATCAGCAAATCAAATGTAGAATTCCTATGTGTTTTGTTTTAATTGGACCCCAGGCCCACAGAATTGGATAAATTGTAATCCTGGTTAAAGACACGCTGTTCATGTTTGTTTGTTTACAATATAATGGTCCCTCTGAGAACTAGACTGCTGTCTACAATGTAAAGCCTAATTATGTGACTCTCCTAGTTCATTCACTCCCTGGCTATTCCCTTTTCAGTAACTGATTTTTATGTTAATATATTCCCTTAACTTTAAAAATGTTTTGATACATGTTTGGATAATATATTAAAGTTTTACTGTGTTGGGACTTTCTAAAAAATTGTATCATTGTTTATTGTCCTCTGGGACTTTTTTCCCCCACTCAACATTATGTGACTAAGATTCATCCATGAAGTGTGTCGTTATACGTCATTGTTTTTTTTTCCTCCCCCCCTTTTTTTTAGAGAATTGAAGGGTTCTTTTTATTGAACATTTAGGCTCGAAAGAATCTTTGTACGAGTTCCCTCTTTTCAACCTTTTCACCGCGTCATGATTATGTTTTCAATTCTGTAATCTAACAGGAGGCTCCAATATTATGGTGTCCAACCCACCAATCATGAACCAGAAAAGTAATGTCATCATCAACCATTGACCTCAGTTCTTTTTTGTGAAAATTCACTAAACCTGCAATAGTGCTTACTAGGTAACAAACACCCTGCCAGGTGCTTTATGAATATTAACTCATTGAATTCATTTAATCTTCATAGCAAACCTACAATGTTGGCAGTACTAGTATTCTCATTTGTAGTACTCTATGAGGTCATGTATTGGTTCCCTGAGGTTGTAGAATTAAGTTATCACAAGTTTGGTGGCTAAGAAAACAGAAATTTATTCTCTCAGGGTTCTGGAGGCCAGAGTCTGAAACCAAGGTGTTGGCAAGGCCTGGCCAGCCAGAGGCTCTCATCATTGTTTTCTTAACCGTGTACTTGCTAGCGTGGTGAAGCACCATCCTCTTAGGTTTAGTACCCGGGGCCCTGCAAATTCAGCTGATAAGTGGCAGATTAACAGGAGAAAAGGCCCTCCTAGAAAAGAAGTCAAGAGCCAAAGAAGGGTTAGACATGAAAAATTACTTTATCAAAGAGCAAAATACATTGTGGAGAAGTGACAGGACAAAGGAAAAGGGTTTGGCCGTTGGGGTGGTAAATTGTGGGAAGGTAAATATAGGGGGGAAACCAGTGGTAGATAAGGGCTAGTTAGTAAGGTTTGTTTGTGCGGACCCATCTCAGTGCCAGCTTTCTGTTTCCAGTGGTCATGGTTCTTCTACTCTCCTTGGTATTGGAAAGGGGAAGGGAGACTGCTTTTAGCCAGAAAGAGGAGAATAGAGAGCTTTTCCTGCATCTGCTCAGCATGATACAATTTTTTGAGTTGCCTTCAGCTCAAAATAATCCTTATGCCAACCTGCCGTATTTCGTAGTGGCAAACATTGATCCTCTTCAGTAGGTCGCACGCTGCGTAAATAATTGATTTAAACTTCCACCGGCAATGTACATGAAACCTCATTGATTTACATTATCTCTACTATTTGGCTTTGTCAGACTCAATTTTTTTCCCATCGAATTGGTGTAAAATAATACCTTGTGCATTTTCCCCCCTCCTTATTATTAATGAAATCAAGCATCTCTTCATATGATTGTTCTCTTAGGACCAAGTATAACAGAGGACAAAACAGGAAGTTGTAAAACTTTGCTGAAAGTCTTTAAAGAGATGGAAAGATATTCCGTGTAAATGCGTAAGAATACAGTTATCCCCCAATTGATCGAAAGGTTCATTGCAATTCCAGTAATCTTATAGTATTGTGGAACTGGAAAAGATGATTGTAAATTGAATGTGGAAGAACAATAGGCCAGGAATAGTCAAAACATCTCTGAAAAAGATGGAGGGTGAGGCTTGTAGTATAATACATCCAAACTTATTAAATAAGACAGCCTAATAATAAGACAGCCTGATTTTAGGACAGACACATTAAATTGGTAGAGAGCTCAGAAACAGACCCACACATGAATAGAACTAGAGTCTGTCAGTGGTGACTTGTATAATCTTTGACCCAGCAGTTCCTCTTTTTGGACTCTTTCTCATGGGACTATACAAATCTATAATGTTGACTGCATAAGATGTTTATTGTAAAACATATATATTGACTATAGACATTCTGGGCTGAAATGTTCATTAATAGAGAGCTCATTAAATAAATTACATTTACTGAATATTTTATTGGCTATTAAAAAATAACAAGGAGGAACTCTAAGTACTGACATGGAAAGATGCATTGTTCTGTTAAGTAAAAATAAAGTGTGTGTGTGTGTGTGTGTGTGTGTGTAGAAAAAGTGTGCAAGGCTATATACCAAGTTTTTAATAGTGATTATATTTGGGGGAAAGGGCAGAGATTTTAAATATTTGTTTTACAGATTAGGAACTAACATGTAGTTTTTAAAGAACTAAACAAAACAGACGTTTAAATGACAAATTTCTAATACTAATAAAGCCATAAATACTAGCAGGTTAAAATTGTTGGAAAAGTTGTCCTTCTTGGTTACTGTTATGATAGGAAATCAGGCTATCTAAAGTGCGGTGCTGGCTCTGTCAAAGGTTGCTGATCTATAGCTGTTGCAGAGTTACACAGGGGAAATGTGTGTGTAACTTTCTGACAATAACAATTGCAGTAACAACAACAATAGCTTTCCCCCTCTGTAGTCCATTGTTCAGTGATTCGTGATTTTGAAGCTAATAATTGTAAGTTTAGAGTTTGTGAAATTAGATATTCAACTAAATTAAAGAAAAAATACTTTTTTAGGAAAAAGGAAGATTGACAGATACTTTTTTAGGAAAAAGGATGATTGACATGATAATAGATCATATCATGAAAATTAAAATTGACTATTGAGCCCTAGCTGGCTTGGCTCAGTGGATAGAGGGTCAGCCTGCAGACTGAAGGGTCCCAGGTTCGATTCCAGACAAGGGCACATGCCTGGGTTGCGGGCTCGATCCCCAATGGGGGGCATGCAGGAGGCAACCAATCAATGATTCTCTCTCATCATTGATGTTTCTAACTCTCTCTCCTTCTCCCTTCCACTCTGAAATCAATAAAAAAAATTGACTGTTGATTTAATTTGTTGAAATAAGACCACTCATAAAAGACTTCTAACCTATTTAGCTCTTACTTGATCTTTTTTGTTATAGATTCCTGTTCATCCTGTGCCTGATCCCTTAGTTCATGAAGTTCTAAACTTGGCTTTCAAGCACTTTAAACATAAGGAAGGGTAAGTAAAATACTAACTCGGGATTGTTGCTGTTCTATGTGGGTTTCTACTGCTTAAATATACTTTGAACTCTCACCGATCGTTTGTTTTTAGCATTCAAGCAATTATTTTTTTTAATCCACACTACATACATATAGAAATGATTTTGGTAAAAATAATTCTAAAAACTGATTGGATTTATAAGAATTAGAAGGCTAAATGTCACAGCAAATTAAAATCTAGAGATAGGAAAAAATTTGGGCTTTATTATCCTATAAATGAATTTTCAGAGAAAATTCTACAATATCTAATAAGAAATTTTGAGATATATTCAGAGAGTTTGTAGAAAAAAATTAATAAATAATGCATTTGTTCTCTTGTTATTTCAGGTATTCGGGAACCAACACTGGGAATGTGCATATTATTGCAGATTTATATGCAGAGGTGATAGGGGTTCTTACCCAATCAAAGTAAGTTTCACTGATTTTGATATGCTCTTTGCTTTGGAATGCTTCATTACTAATATAGTAGAAACTGACAGTTTTAAACTTACTGTATTTTTCATAGAATTCAGTTTCACCTTTTATTACTAAGCTGCTCTGTTCCTCAGAGGATTTTAAAGTAGCACCCATACTTTAATTTCACAGCGTGTTTTCATTTTAGGTTTTTTTCCATAAATATCTGCATTGAGGAAGTCAGAAATTGCCAGGAATAGTCAGGACATTACCTTATTTCCTATTTTTAACAATTCTGTAAGAAGCCTTTTTTTTTAAAATCTTCCTTTTAAAACTCTTTACAGAGCTAATAATTACTTTTAATACTTTCCAGTTGAGTGCTTTTATTTCCAAGATATCAATGTAATCCCTTTATTCTAATCACCTTATTTGTTTTAATACTAAGCAGAGTTTTGAATAAATAAAAGGGATACCTAAAAGGAAAGGTAAAAGATACCGGATTATTTTATGAAAAGTGTTATTCGTCAGGAGTTACACTCATTGAGCTGTCTTGAACCATCATTATAGTAAACACTAAAAAGCTGTTTGTCTTTAGTATTTGTGTTTGCTCTAAGTAAAAAGTATCAATTATTCCTCTTTAAGAAACTTCTGATATTAAACTAAATGAACAGGAAATTTAGAATAATAAAAATTTTTGTCTTCCTATCTATGCTTTTCTGGCAATTTTGATGAGGGCAGAGAAAGGAGATGATGTAGGAAATTAGTGTTTTTAACAAATGAAATGATGTATCTGTGTGTATTAAAGGTTTCAGGCTGTGAGGAAGAAGTTTATGACGGAATTAAAAGAACTGCGACTGAAGGAGCAAAGTCCACATGTGGTACAGAGTGTCATCAGCTTAATAATGGGAATGAAATTTTTCCGAGTGAAAATGTATCCTGTAGAAGATTTTGAAGCATCATTTCAGTTTATGCAGGTGATATACTTCATCAGTTGCAGAGATTTAGCCTAACAATGACTTTGCTTGCTCTTCATGACTTTTAAAAAGAAACAATGTAGATATATTAATGACATCGTTATTAATTTCTTATTCCAATTGTTGAATTGTCACAAGTACAAATTAATTTTCTTTTTGAATTTAAATATGTTTTGACCATAGCTTTTTTATATAATTTCAGAGTGTTTACAAAATTATCGTGATATTAAAAATTCTTTAATCTTTCTCTTTTGTTAACTTAATGTGTTCCCCCCACCCCCCAGGAATGTGCTCAGTATTTCTTAGAAGTAAAAGATAAAGATATAAAACATGCACTTGCCGGTTTATTTGTGGAGATTCTTATCCCTGTAGCTGCTGTAAGTATATTTTTTATTTTTATATTATATCTTAAAAGTACCTTTTTACTAAAGAAGTTGCTACATGAAATATTCTTACTTTCTGGTAACCTAATAGCCAATGAGGTGGAAATTTGGAATATAACATGGGCATAGGGGAAAGGATTATTAGACAGAGTAGAAGAGCATTCATCAGTCTTTTAATTAAAAGAACAAGCCCTCAAGATCCAGAGACTGTTAGGAGTGCAGAGCATTTGCAACCTAGCAGTAGTGTGGCCTCCAGGCGCTCAGTGTAGCACACTGCATTTCATCGTGGCCCTTGCTCCGTACAGAATCACAGCCATTTCAGTAGCCTCTGAAGAATTTAAAGTACTGTGACATACATCCTGGAATTTACCAGACTGTCTTGATTTTATAAGTTCTGTTCTACAGAATGCCGTGACATTCATCATACCTATCAAAATTTGTACTCTGAATTGTTTAGAAAATAATGATCGCAGTAACTTCTGGGGAAGCACATTGATAGAAACTTTTCTTGGTGTAAATGTAGAGTGTTATTCACAACTAATTTTGCAGTTACTGGTAATGAAATACCAATAGTAATGGAATTTGTAGCATACTATAAATCGATTTTTTTGTTTTCTGGTCTCCATCCCTGCCCCACTCAGTTTTTCGGTGTGGTATGGAATATTCCACTCATTTTCAATGTACTGCATATTGTTGTATAATTGACTCTTATATATACACATATATATTATTTTATTTTTAAAAGATTTATGAAGGTGAAATTGACATACAATAAACCACACACATTTAAAGTGTACAATTTGACATATATACATATACACACACACACATATATATGTGTGTATATATGTACTAGGATATATGTACTAGTATATATATATGTACCTGAAAAACTGTCCCCACACTCAACATGATGTACATATCTATCACTCTCTTCGAAGTTTTCTGGTGTTCCTTTTTAATCCCCACTCTCGCTCACCCCACCAGTGATGTTCTTTCAGTTTCAGTACATTAGTTTTGGATTTCCTAGAATTTTATATTAATGGAATCTCACAGTACAAACTCTTTTTCTGACTTCTTTCAGTCTGCATAATTATTTTGCAGTCTAAGTATGTTGTAGAATATATCAGTAGTTTATTGCTTTTTCATTGTTGAGCAGTATTTCATGGTATGTCTGTACCACAGTTTGGTTATGTGTTTACCTGTTTTTGGACCTTTGGGTTGTTGCCGGTTTTTAGCTGCTACAAGTAAAGCTGCTGTGAACACTCATATACAAGTCTTTGTATGAGCATTTGCTTTTCTTTCCTTTGGGTAAAAACCTAGGAGTGGAATTGCTGGACCAAGTGATAGTTATAGGGTTAAGTCTTCAAGAAATTGCCAGACTGTGTTACAAAGTGGTTGTACCATTTTGCATTCCCATGAGCAGTATGTGAGAGTTCCAGTTCCTCCACATCTTCAGCAACACTTACTCTGGCCAGTCTTGTTCATTTTCGCCATTATAATAGGTGTGTCGTGGTTTCTCATTCTGGTTTTTAATTTTTGTATTGGATTGTTTTAGGATTGAGCTTTGAGACATATATTTTTAAAATGTGGATATAAGTATTTAATCAGATGTATGCTCTGTGAATATTTTCTTCTAGTTCATGATTTGTGCTTTCATTCTCTTAACTATGTCTTTGAAAAAGAAGTTTTTTTATTTTGATGAGATCTGACTTATCAGTGTGTTCTTTTATAAATTAAACTTTTGTGTTATACCTAACAAGTCTTTGACTAACACAAAGTCACTAAGGTTTCTCCTATATTTTAAATTTAAGGTTTACTTTTAGGTTAGTGGTCCATTTTGAGTTAATTTTTATATGGTAAGAGGATTGAATTTTATTTTGTTTAATTTTTTGTTTTGTTTTTGTTCCAACAAAATTTGTCCATTTGTTGACAAGACAATTCTTGTCAAGTGCTTTGTCTAAAAAATGAATTGACTCTATATGCTTCAGTGTGTTTCTGACTCTGTTCTGTTCCAATGATCTATGTGTATGTTCTTATAATAATAGCATACTATCTTAATTCCTGTAGTAAGTTAGAGGCAGGCAGTGTACATCTTCCAACTCTATGCTTTTTCAAAGTTATTTTGGCTATTTTAGGTTCATTTTAGATGTGGAATCTAATGAACAAAATAAGCTGACAAAATAGAAACTGAGGCATGGATACATGGAACAGACTGACAGAGGTCAGAGGGGAGGGAAGGAGGGAGACTGGATGAAAGAAGGTGAAGGGATTAGCCAAAAAACATATATCCATAGCACGTGGACACAGACAACAGTGTGGTCATAGACAAAGGAAAAGGGGTGGAAGTAGGTGGAGGTGGGCAAAGGAGGGGAGAAATGGGGATGGAAAGAGACTTTGCTTGGGGCAATGGCTGCACGAAGTAGTGTGCAGATGATGTTTTATTGGGTTATACACTTGAAACCTGTATAATTTTGCAAACTAATGTCACCCCAATAAATGCAATTAAAATTTTTTAAAAATTTAGAGTCACTTAGTCAATTGAAAAAATGCTGGGATTTGAATTGGGATTTCTTTATATTGATAAATGGTAGGACAGACATCTTAATATTGATTCTTGTGATTCATGAGCATAGCAACTTTCTTCTTTGACTTAGGTCTTTATTTTCTCTCATCAATGTTTTGTAATTTTCAGTTTATAGATCTTGAGTATATTTTGTTAAATTTATCCTAGGCATTTCCTATTTTTGTGCTATCGTAAATGCCATTGTTTTAAGATTTCATTTTCCAGGTGTTCAAAATACTTTTCAGTGCATAGATTTTATTTCATTTTTGCCTTATTGCACTGGCTAGCATTTTCAGTACAATGATTAAAAAAAAAAAAATGAGAGCAGACATCCTTACCTCTTTTCACATTTTAGGGCTAAAGTCGCCAGTCTTACCAATAGGTATGATGTGACTTATAGGTTTTTCATAGATGCCTTTTATCATATTGAGGAAATTTATTTTCATTTCTAGTTTATGAAGAGTTGGTTATTTTTCAGGAAGGAATAAATGTTGGATTTTGTTGAATGTCCCCCATCCTTGTCTGTTGAAATAATCAGATGGTTTTTCTTTTTTGTTTGATAATATATTGAACTATATTAATTGTTGAATCAACATTACATTCTTGGGGTGAAACTCTTGATCATGATAAGACTTTTTTATATTGTTAGGTTTTATTTGATAAGGTTTTTTATTGAGAATTTTTGCACCTATCTGTGTTCCTGGGGCTCTTGGTCTGTGGTTTTCTTTTTTTAGTATCAAGATAATTTATGTAGGAAGAGTTTGTGCAGAATTGGCTTTCAGTCTTTCTTTGGAGTTGGATGGAATATATTAATACATCCACTTAATCTGGAATTTTCCTTGTGGGAACCTTTTTAACTACCAAATGACTTTCTTCAAAAGACAGGTTTTCTCAGACTACTTTTTCTTGAGTGAGCTTTCAGATCTTTCTGAGGTGTTAATTCATTTCTAAGGGAATTATCAAATTTATTGGTATCAGGTTGGTCAGCTTTATACTATATACTATACACTTTATACTATTGTATCTGTAGTGACCACTTTCATTCCAAATATTGCTAAGTTTTGACTTTCCTTCTTTTTTCCTGGTCTCTCTGGCTAGTACTTTATTAATTTTTTTGATCTTCCCAAAGAACTAGTTTTTGGCTTTATTGATGTTCTCTATTTTTCAGTTTCTATTTCATTGATTTCTGCTTGGATTTTTATTATTTCCTTTCTTCTACTTTGGTTTTAATTTGCACTTTTTGTTTTTTTTTTTTTGTTTCTTAGGGTAGAAGCTGAGATCCTGCATATCTTTCCCTTTTTTTCTAATATAAGCACTTAATGCTATATATTTCCCTCTAAGTAGTTCTGAAGTGGCAGATCACAAATTTTGATACCTTGTGTTTTCATTTTCATAAAGGTCAAAATACTTTTTAATGCTCTTTGTGAAATCCATAGGTAATTTAAAGGCATATTATTTTGTTTCTGAACATTTGGGGATTTTTCCAGAGATCTTTAAGTTATTCATTTTTAATGTGTGGTTAGAGAACATACTTTGTATGGCTCGAATCCCATTAAATGCATTGACATTTGTTTTGGGGCCAGGGTATCATCTACCTTCATGAATGTTCATGTGCACTTGCAAAGACTGTACGTACTGCTGTCGTTGGATGGGAGCGTTCTATAAATATTAATTAGGTCCAGGGTGGTTGATAGTATTATTTGTCTATGATAACCTTGCTGATGTCCTGCCTACTACTTGTAGCAATTATTGGGTGAGGAGTACTGAAGTCTCTGACTGTAACTAAGTGTAGATTTGTCAGTTTCTCTTTGCGCTCTGTCAATTTTTGCTTTGTATATGTTTAAGCTCTGTTATTCAGCACATACATGTTCAGAATTGTGATATCCTCTTAAATGGGCACCTTTATCATTTTGAAATAACCCTATTGTGAAAATTTTTTAAATGCATACAAACATAATTTATAGCTTTGCAAGTAGTTGGAGTCAGATAGCTTCCCATCCCCACCTCAGTTTTTGGCCGTGTGAATTAGGTTCATTTTATCAAAAAGAAAACAGACTAGTTAATAAAACCATGGCAGCTTGAGGCTGTTATCATTAGTACAAGTACTCTGATTTCTCTTCTTAGAAATGGTTTCCATTGCTACTTATCCATGCCATTTGTCATTTGTGCTTCCTCCTTGTTTGAAAATGTGGGGGGGTTTTTTGCCAGCTGTTTAACTTGGGTTAGGTTACAGTTTTTAACGTAATCCATCAAACGGAGCCAGTTGTACAAAGCGAGATGCTTGACAATGCCCCATTATTACTGAGTTGCCTAATTCTTCTTTTATGCCATGTTTCCTTCTGTGGTTTATTAGTTTGCTAGGGCAGCCCTAACAAAGTACACACACTAGGTGGCTTAACCAACAAAAAGGTATTGTCTCACAGGGACTCTGTTCCGTGCCCCTTGCCAAGCTTCTGGTGTTTACTGACAATCTGTGGCATTCCCTGGCTTCTAGAAGCCTCACCCCAATCTCTGCTTTCATGTTCACATGCTGTTCTCCTTATGTGCATGTCTGTGTCCAAATTTTCCTCACTTTAAGGACACCAGTCATGTTAGATTAGCTGCTACCCCCAATATGACCACAGTCTAACTCTAACCCATAACAACTGCCTCTGCACATAGAGCCACTTCTGCCTGGAACATTCTTCCTCACTAAATATCTCCCCCCCCCCGCCCCCCCTTCACCTGGCTGGACTCTCCTCATTCATTTGTTATGTGTATTGAGTGCTTTCTGCGTGTGGGGGCCTCGTGTATGCACAGGGGATACAGTGATCAAGGTAGGAAAGACTCATTGCTCCTATAGAGTCTAGTTCTGAGGAAAACACAATAAACTCATGTAAAATATGTAGTATGCAGATGGTGGAAAGTACTATGGAGAAATGGAAAACAGGGTAGAGAATCGCCAAGATGGTAAGGGAGTTGAAAGGTGGCCGTTGAACAGAAGCTAAAGGAATGAGGGAGTGAGACATGCTGTACTGGGGGGAAGAGCTTAGGCAGAAGGAACAAGTGCAGACGTCCTGAAGCCAGAGCACGCATGATGTGTTTGAGGAACAGCAGGAAGCTAGCTAGTGCGGCCGGATCCCACTGCCGGGGGCAGGAGAGGGAGATAAGGCCAGAGTGGTTACATGGGAAGCTGTTGCAGTATTTCAGGTAAGAGGTGTTGGATTCAGCTTAGGTGTACCTTGTGTAATTTTTCCCTAGGGGCCCCCTCTGACTGCTTCAAGACCACAGAGAGTTTCAGTTTCCTCTTACAGCATCTGGTAGACCACCTGTTCACTGGCCTGCGTTCTCTGCTTGTGCTCTCAGGGCAGGGACCAAGTTTATCTTATTTACTTAACATTTGGTCAGTTGGCACGTTATGGTACTGTACTTCCATGAGATCCTCAGTGAGGTATTAACCAATTCCAAACCTTACAGAAAGTTCTTGTAGTTTGAACCCATGTTTGTAACCATTTTCTTACTTTTTGCATTATTTTTTTTACCTAGGCTGTTAAAAATGAAGTGAATGTTCCCTGTTTGAAAAATTTTGTGGAGATGCTTTATCAGACTACTTTTGAACTGAGCTCCAGAAAGAAGCATTCATTGGTATTAAGAACCATTTCAAATATTTACATATTTAATTAGGGGGGGTCTTAGTAATTGTTTTATGAAGTCAGTGGAGATTTAAGAGAATTGTAAAAAGTGAAATTGTCATGTATCCAAAGTGTAAAATAAGACAAATTTTATATATTTTCTCCTCTTTTTAAAAATTTCTGTTCATGATTTTGCTAGCTCTGTATTTGATGGGTTAGTCAGACTTCATTCTGGGTTTTCACCTGGCTTGACAGGTGCTTTAAAGCATGTGTTACAATAAGGGAAAGGTTGAATGTACTCTTGTATTAAACTACAAATTCCTTTATTTTACATGATAATAAAATTGCATCTTTTGCATTCAAAGTTTCCCCCCCCACACACATAACCACCCATTTCATGTAACTTTGAGGGATTTCTCTGAATTTTCATGCAACTTGGGGAAAGTTTGGAGACTTGGACAAATCCTTGGCCACTTATGGTAGAGAGAGTGAACATGCATTCCAGGCACTGAACTGAGTGCTTTGCCTCCTTTGTCTTCCTTAAGCCTCACAACCTCGTAGGATGTGTGTGATTATTATTTTCCACTTTACATTTTAGGAAAGTGAGGCTTAGAGCTAGTGATGTATCCTCCCTGGTGTCAGACACCTGGCAAATGGAAAGCTGACACTTCAGTGCCAGTCTGTCCTCTGATCCCAGGGCCCATGCTCACAACCACTGTACCAATTGAAGGAGGAATGGCTCTAGGGAAATAATAGCATGCTCTAACTCAGGGAGTATATGATAGGTCAGAGAACAGTCCTTATAGAGAATTTGCCTTTTATTATTCTTTGTTACATGACTCTAGGAGATCATGTTTCTTACTATAAATGGGTAAACTGCATAAAGGAGTCTTTTGGTTTCCTTGTTTATGAGAATAAATGAAATATAATTTACAAGTCCAGTGCTTTGTCTTGTAAAGTGTTAACTCTCTCTTTTATCTGTCTTCTATAGGCTCTATATCCACTAATTACCTGCCTTTTATGTGTCAGTCAGAAACAGTTTTTTTTAAGTAACTGGCATATTTTCCTACAAAACTGTTTGTCGCACTTAAAGGTAAGACATAATCTCATTTCTGACCTGTAAATACTGACTGTAGTGTATTCACTTATGCATATACATTGACTAGCATGTAATAAACTTTCATTACTATTGGTACATATGAGTAATTAATAGTTTACCATATTCCATTTCTTATGCATACTTTATACCTTCTATAGGGAATCAGTCATGTATGAACATGAAGAAACTTTTGATTAAAATTTTGGTTTGTCTTACTGAGCGCCAAACTGTGCATTTTTAATGATTGATGTATTAATAGTATCTTCAACCTAGCAATATTTGTTAATAAAGTCCTTAGAACTGTAGAGTATTAATCTTATAAAACTTACTTTGTGTTTGAGAAAATTCAATAATGTTAATTCAAGCCTGAATAATATTTAAAAGCCTTGATAATAAAATATTACTAAAAGCACATTTCATATAAGTATGCCCAGCCAAATTAAAGTGTGGCACTGGATCCACATAGATGTAACAGCTCCTGAAATTATTCTGACTTGAATCAACACCATTTGGCACATCTGTGTCCGGTCTGTCTTAGTACTGAAAACAAAACTGTGAGATAGAAGGATCCTAATCTTGCCAGGGTGCTCTGCTAGCAAGCTCTAACAGGATCTCCTTGTCTTCTGCGGGTAGGAGTGCTGTTAATGACTGACACATCGGCGGGGGGGGGGAGATAATCCTCATCTGCATGTCACGGGAATGCTTGATTTGAAGACCGTTTTGATACACAGATTAATATTTGACGATTTGCTTACAGGATATATAAAAGGCAGATGTGAGATTTTATTGCCTGTCATCCCTCTAAGTTCAGGTTAAGACTGAAAACCTAATACTTTAAAGGCAATGACAAGGCGCAGAGAGATTAACTTACTTGTCTCTGGCCCCACAGCTCATTGTGGTCTTGTGAGAAATAGGACTGCCTCTCCTTTTCACACTTCAGGAATGATCCACTAGACAACATTATCCTAAATATCTTTTTTCTGATTTTATGTATCATTTTAAAAAATGTCTTGATTTTTTTTTTTTTTTGGTAAGATATACAGGAACTATAAGTCTTTGAAAAATATTTTTAACTTTTTCTCTTCCTGGATCTACATTGATTTTATTCATGTTTGAATGAGAAATAATATATTCTGCTTTGTTTATGAAAATTCCCACAGCCAAATCAAGCTGATTCAATGCTATGACATGTAACCAGAAAATAAGTTTTTATTTACTTAGTTATATTACGTACTGTGTTCTGTCCTTATTTTGATGATTTATATAGATAGAGGTACTTAAAGGAGATTGGTAATTTGCTGGGTAATGTGATTCTTAATACTTTTAGTAAAATATATTAAGATGTGCATTTAAGTGTTCTTGGAAGATTGCTTTGTTTCATGACAATTCATACTTTTCTGTTGCTTGTTGGAATTTTTTTATATATCTACATTTCCACCTAACATATTTGCAGTTCTTTCGCAGTACCCTTAACTTTTTATTTTTGTCTTAAGGCTTTCATTTAAAATGCTCCATTTTCTTTGAATCCTTACCTCCTGATAAATACTTCTGGCATATTGTCCATGTTCATGAATGGCTATGTCAATCTGCCAGGCTAAAGGAGATAAGAGCCATTTAGCATGAATATTTGGAGTATAGTTGTCTTGGCCATTAACCCTTAACTTACATTAAGGCTCTATTCAGCAGAAATTTTATGACTTGGTGCCTGTTTACCAGGTTTAGATTCTGGGGCTAAGCTGCATAGTCTAGGTAAGGAATTGAGCATTCAAGGGAAAACTACATTAATTACCTGTTGTGACAGGTATAATTTGTTTTTTATATGTAGGAAATACTGGCTCAAGGTAAAGGCCTTACCTAAGTTGATTTTGTTTTGAGATTCAAGTAACCTCTTAATTTTAAAAAAAAATGTCTATAACAGTTTTTCATTTATTAGATCTACTACTTCTTAAAATTGATTTTTACTAATATTTGCTATATGCTAGATTCTTTGAATACAGTATCTCATTTAATTCTTACTGTGACAGGCTGAAAGAAGAGAACTAAGTAACCCATGTTTAGGGAGCCAAAAAGTGATAGAGATAAGATTTGCATCTAGATACATTCAGTGCCATAACGTTTGCGCTTTCTGGTCTATCTTGTTACCTTTTAATGTACTATTAGGAATGATGCTGTAACAGATATTTTAAGAAAATATTTTGGCTATAATTTTAGGATATTTAAAAGACATCCAAAGTCATAAAAATAATATATTTTCAAGGCACTTTAAGATATTGCCCAATTTAAAAAAATTATTATACCAGTTTTTGAAGCTGGTGATCATAAAACATGGGTTTTAGTCCTATAGGTTCAGAAATAGCACGAGAGAACATCCTATTTATTTTCATTGAAAATGTTAAATCTGTTACTTTTGTTCCAAACAGAATTTGGTAGTTTCCAATACCCCTATCTTTATATCAACTGAGGTCATTCTGTGAAAAATGACTTTTAAGTTTCTAAAGAGCAATTAAGAGAGAAATAAGAGTGCATATCATGCAGAAATATTTTGAAGAATTTTTTTCTACAGTGTATGCTTAATTTCTTTTAAAAATTAAACTTTAACGTTTAAGTTCAATTGCAGTGCTTTGGAGAGGAAAAATTAGATTGTTAAAAATGTAAGTGTTTTCTCTCAGTTTGAGTATTGTAGATGTATCCCATGATGCCCAAAAAATTAGAGGATTTTTTTTTCTGAGTATTTCTGGCCACTGTCTTGGGAATTTCAAATTTCTTCTAAATAGAGGCCTTGGTGAGGAGCTGTCTTGTTTGGTGCTTATTTTCATCTAACATGCATGTGCTGCATCTCATGTTTATGTTTGCTGTCTCACGTTGCTTTATTTAGATGCCATCTAACAACAGTATCAGAAAGCAAATAGAAACACTCCAGGTGAGTTGTGTCAATGTAAGACGTTGCTTTATCTCCTTTAAGTGTGCTTTTTTTTTTCCCCTTTACCCATTATTGCATTGCATGTCTAATAATATTTATTCATGCCTGCTTCTTGTATGGTAGCAAAAGAGTAGCGCACAGCAGGAGCATTCTAGTTTTCGTATTAAAGGGGCCCCAAGAAAATGAACTTAAGATATTTGATAATGAATGTTGATTGTTAACCAGAATTCTGAATTTTAAGATAGTCTGTCTAAGTTACATTAGCTGTTATAAATGAAATTTTTTAAAGATTTGCAAATGAAGTTGAGACAGTAGCTTAGATCTTGAATATGATTTTATTGCAACACTTTTTAAACTTTTATTTGATTGGTTTGGGTTTTAAACCAGTTATTTGGGGGGGAGGTTCACAGTAGAGAAAAAGGAAAAAAAGAATAAAATAATTGCTGCCAAAGAGCATATTTGACTGACATACCAAATTTTATTACATATGAATACTATTGAATTTTTATTAATGTAATCTGACTATTCACATTAGACCAAAATTGTAATGAGGCAATTAAATATCTTTGTTTAAGACTCAGGTCAGTTTAGGGTGTTTTTATTATTTAGGCATGATCGCAGCATTGTAGTGGTCAAATAAATAATAATTGATTTTTATCACTTTTCATCTTGTGCTATTGTTCATTATAAAGTATTCTGCTTTGTTAACATAGTGGTCAATCTTGGAAAGTTTGAAAATCATGTATTTTTGTGGTTTTTTTGTTTTGTTTTGTTTTTTTATGCTAGATACTTCATAACTTAAAATAAGAAAATAAGATAAACCGAATACTTTATTAAGCATTTATATGAGATTAATTTTTATGTGGAATTGGGCTTAAATATTTTTAATGTACAATTTATATTTTAAAAATACAATTTAGTAATGTGAAAGTATTATTTGGAGTGTACATAAAACTAATTGAATTCATATTTTGATATTTGACATCTACGTTTTAAACAATATCAATATAATAGTAAAGAAAATACTGCCCAAATCTTGGTTATTATATTAGTAACATATACAGGGTGTCCCCAAAAATGTATGCACTCTTTGAATAATTATAAAGGCAGTGTTTATTAAAATACATTTCATTTTCAAAATGTAATAGAATGTTATAATTTCATTATTAATTATATCAAATATTCATATAGATAAATGTGGTAAAGTATATTTTCTAGTGGTTACATCTTTTGCATAGTTTTTAGTCATAAGTAGTTAGATGTCCATTTTTCTATATTTTAAAATATAAAATAGAATGGCCAATTACTTAGTATTTAAGAACTCCCTTTTGTCTGTTGCTATATATAAAATAATTGTTCAATAATAAGAAATTCCTCAAATAAAATTAAATAAATGCTAACTTATAGCAATAAATGCATCCTACAACCATGCATACAGTTTCTCCTAATAAAATTGATGACTAGCTGCATTTTCAATATTCACAATGAAATCTCATTACGTGACTGGTCATTGGAGAACTCTACTTTTTATAATAGCTGGTATGCAGAAAAGGTTTGTCGATCAAATTGTGATTGAAATGGAAGACTTTTCTGCTTCTAAAGAGTAATAATTTAAATAGTGTTCTGATTCTAAATAAATAATTGAAGGTATAGACCCTTGTTGAGCATTTATCATGTACCAGGCAGTGTTTCAAGTGCTTTTCACATAATTTCCTGAGTCTGTGAGGTAGGCACCATATTGCCTCGTTTTTAGAGCTGAGGAAATTGTGGCACCAAGTGAGGTAACAGCAGCCAAGGGTGGGGTTTGGCTGGTCACTCCTAACTTGAGAGACCATGCTCTTAACCCACTAGTCTATATATTTCCTCTTGTTAGGCTAATCACTCAGTAATATTTTGCATTATTTCATAAATGCAAATATCTGTAACAGCATTTGGTATTCTAGATTTTAACTGTATATGGGTTGCAGTGAATTATTGCCAAGATTAGTAATCCTTCTATCATTAGGCCAGTATTGTATGAACCATTTATAACCACGTAAGTTGATGTGTGTGTATAATTTTGAAATTCTTAGAAATATTATTATAATTCTAATATTGTATTGTTTTGTTTTAAGTGTATAAGGAATGGCTCTGATTTCCTTATTTATGGTTACTTTTGAGCTATCTGTACTTACCATACACCAAACATATACTTACCATATACAAACATATGCTTACATATTTAAACCTGTTTTAGATTGAACAAAAAAGAGAGGAGTGAGGGCTTTTAGTTGCTGACAGAGAATGTATCTGTTCTTAAATGATTGCAAGTACTTAAATAAACTTATTTTAATTCTCTTTTGTTCTAAACAGAATAAAGATCCTAAAATGTCTCGAGTTGCACTGGAATCTTTGTACAGATTGTTGTGGGTTTATGTCATTAGAATAAAATGTGAAAGCAACACTGTAACTCAAAGGTGAGTGCCTTTGTTTCCAAGTGTATTTTAAATAAAATATTGCTAAAACATATCACACTACGGGAATTTTAGTTAACATGACAAACACCTGCCGAAACCGGTTTGGCTCAGTGGATAGAGCGTCGGCCTGCGGACTGAAGGGTCCCGGGTTCGATTCCGGTCAAGGGCATGTACCTGGGTTGCGGGCACATCCCCAGTAGGAGATGTGCAGGAGGCAGCTGATCGATGTTTCTAACTCTCTATCTCTCTCCCTTCCTCTCTGTAAAAAATCAATAAAATATATTAAAAAAAAAAAAAAAAAACATGACAAACACCTTGTGGGGGGATATAAATTCTCCTGACATATTATGAAGAATAGGAAGAATAGTTTGCGACTGTTCTGTTAATTTCATCATCTCATTATGACTAATTTTTTCCCCCCTGTAGTCGTCTTATGAGCATAGTGTCAGCACTTTTCCCAAAAGGCTCACGTAGTGTGGTTCCTCGTGACACGCCTCTCAATATATTTGTGAAGATTATTCAGTTCATTGCTCAGGTGAGTATTTCACCTCCTAATACATGTGCCCATGTAAGTGACAAGAGTAACCTTTGCAGTAACTTGGAGTATGAAAATTTGTTACACATCTAAAAGCATGATAAAATATTTATTACTATTGAACAGTGGAAATAATAAATGTATGCTATAAATATAAAAGATGTTAATGATTTTTTTTTGGTGACAAAATAAGTTTGTCGTGGATGTACACACTTGGGGAAGGAAGGAGAGCCACAGGTGGAAGAAGCACTGAAGTTCGGGGGGTTCAAGAAGGTGTATGATCCCACCCTGGGTGCTTTTACTAATTACCTCTTGAGTAGCTCGAAAGGGTGTGTGTGGGTTTTTTTGTGTTTTTTTTTTCTTGAAAATTGTTTTCATAATTTGTGTTAATGTAGGTCCTTAGGTATAGATACTAGAATCCACTGTAGCTAGTTGAACCCAAAGGGATTTTTTAAGGAATATAAATAGTTCACAGAAACACTAATAGTCTGAATGATTAAGAGGAAACTACAGAATTGCTAACAAGGAGGCTGCTGCCTCCACCACAGTCAAAAAGTTGCCAAATTAGGAAATCACCACAGATGTTTTAGACCCACGCTGCTGCCATGATCCCACCAGTAAAGCGGGTTCCTTCCCCCGACCTCCTCCTCACCTTACCCAGTTCCCAAAGGCTCCCATGAGTGTACGTACCGCTTGGCAGGGTCTAAGCCACGTTCTAAGGCCCACTGTTACCAGGCGTCCTGGCAGATACCATTTTAGCTCTCCAGTCTCTGCCACACAGGAAGGTTTGTTCTTAGCGGATTGATCACATCGAAGGTTTTAATCACATCAGCCCTGCAGAAGCGTAGGTAGGCTTACCTCCTCAACGTAGCAAAACGTTTGATTCCAGAATGCTCATTGCATTCTCTTTGAACTAAAAATCTGACAATTTAGATGGTCCATAATGTAGTTATTTTGATAGTAAATAAATAAGGAATATTTATATAAAATGAGGACATTTCTATTTGCTAGAGCACAGAACTGATGGTAATTAAATAAGTATAAATCTGTCGATAAGGTAAATGAAAGCAAATTGTGCTTTAGCTCTAGTATTCAGAAAAAATTGCCATTAGGTTGTATCCCTTTCCTCCTCCTTTTCCCCGCCCCAGTACCCTTGGATTAATCGCTTCACACCAACACTCCACCAGAACTAAAAAACTCTCTCAAACATCAGTTAATCTTCCTGGTTAACTTTTTCCTTGGAGATTTCCTTCCTGGAGCCCTGTTCTTCCTGTCTCATCGGATCTCTCACTAGGCCAGCTGCATGGATAATGCGGGACACACTTTCATCTAAGTGATATTTCTTTCACTTAGATTTTGGATATGATTTTGGTGAATGAATACTTAAAACTTTACCCATTGGTTTGGGTATTAAATCATTTGATAAATATCTATAATTTTTTTTATTATTTAAAAAAATTTTTCAATTACAGTTGACATTCAGTATTACATTGGTTCCAGGTGTTACAGTCATTAAACTATAATTCATAAGTATTTTTCTGTATACAACTAGATTTATGAATTTCTTGTGGGCACAGATCTGTGTCATTGCCATTATATGTATAATTCTTAGCATTATACCTAACATATAGTTGTAGCAAGTTAGAAGGATTTATTCGTTGTGTGTGTTTTTTTCTAGGAACGTTTGGATTTTGCAATGAAAGAAATAATATTTGATCTTCTCAGTGTTGGAAAGTCTACTAAAACTTTCACCATTAATCCAGAGGTAAAATAAATAAATAAATAAATAAACTATAGAGTAATACATTATTCTCAACTTTTTATTTTTAGTGGTTTTTTCTTAGAACACAGTTTCTGGAATCAACGATTAGGCTCAAACCCATAGTTAGAAGTTCTACTTCTTACTACAGGTGTGATCTGGGACAAGTTGTATAACCTACCTTCAAATATAATTGAGTACAGTTAACAGAAATGCGGTATGTTCAGTTGAAAGGGAAATGTTAAATGTGTAAGAACAGAGATAATCAATAGTACAATTTCCCAAAAATGTTAGGATCAGACAGCATTCTAAAGCTAGAAAGACCAGTCCCCCCTCAACTCTAATGAGAGCAAAGGAGAGGAAGAAGAAGTGCAGATATAAGTGCACTGGTGTGTGTTGTAGTGAGAGTTTGAAGAAAGTTGGTTTTTTCTTTCTGTGAAGCAGGAGAGGAGAGGGAGAGGAGGAGGGGGAGGAGAGTTGAGGACAGATGGAAAAGGTTTGAAATAAGCTTTATAGCGAAAGAGGAGAGCCAGTTGACCTCTGAAGTGAGTGGGTGGTATCTGGAATTTGACATTAAAGCACACTTCAGTGCCTAGATTGCTTAAAAAATGTTGAGCAGAAAGCTTAGTTTTCCTGTACCCCAGTGTTATCCCATGAGAGATTTTTAACATGAACAAAATATTGGCTGAAAGTCTGCTTTACTTTTGAAAACTTTTTCTCCACAGAGAATGAACATAGGCCTCCGAGTCTTCCTGGTGATAGCGGACAGCTTGCAGCAGAAAGATGGAGAGCCACCAATGCCAACAACAGGAATTATTCTTCCTTCAGGAAACACTCTTCGTGTGAAGAAAATTTTTCTCAATAAAACCTTGACCGATGAAGAAGCAAAAGTCATAGGTTAGTGTTACCTCAAATAAATAAAACAGCTTGTTGATACAGTTTAATATGCTTTTGTAGAAGTTTAGATCGAATCTAAAACATATATATTTACCTATTATAGTTATTCCAGTACATGGAGTAATTAAAAAAAATGAATACTTTTTTTATATCTATAAGTTGTTAGGTTAAAAGTCTTCTGTTTAAAGCTTTATTTTCTTATGTGACGTTATTTACTGCATTTCATTCTTCCTTCAAATTTTAGTTCTGTGCATAATTTTTACATATACTAAAGCCAATCATCAGGGAGAAGAGTATATCACAGTCGAAATGCCTTCTTTTGCAACATTGATAAGCTAATGTCTTTTTTTTTTTTTAATTGAATTTGTTGGGGTGACACTGGTTAACAAAATTATACAGGTTTCAGGTGCACAATTCTACAACACATCATCTGTACACTGTACTGTGTGTTCACCACCCCAAGTCGAGTCTCCATTTATCCCCCTATACTCTCCTCCACCTCCCAAACCCTCCCTCCCCCTGGCAATCACCACACTGTTGTCTGTATCCGTGAGTTTTTTTATCTCTTTTTATTTCCTTTTTTGCTCAATCCCTTCACACACACCCCACCTCCCGACAGCTGTCAGTCTGCTCTGATTAAGAGACTTTTATTTTTACAGAAAAGGAATTGTAACTATTCCTTATTTAATTTCTAACATTTTATAACAGGGTTTTTCTCCTCCCCCACCAGGAATGTCAATTTACTATCCTCAAGTGAGAAAAGCATTAGATAGCATTCTCAGACATTTGGACAAAGAAGTTGGGAGGCCAATGTGTATGACTAGTGTGCAGATGTCTAATAAGGAGCCTGAAGATATGATTACGTACGTAGCAAATTAATTCTTTTCATTGCTATTTCAGTTTTTGTAAAGAGTATAGATGGTTGATTCGTGCTTACTTGTCTTGTTCCTTTCTCTCCCGGAGTTCTTCTGTATTGCCATCTGCTGTGGTTATTAATACAGCGGTTCCTTCCACATGCCAAGTTTTGTCCTTTAGTATAGATAGCAAAAGGTGTCCTGGATTCTCGGTCTAGTTTGTGGTCAGTGACAAAGCTCTACTCTCATTCTGTGAGTGATAGGTAAATCCTCGTTGCCCCAGATGTGTGCGGACTGATTGGTTTATTAAGTCAGACCAATGCTCTTATTTCCCGGGCCCTGATAAACAAAAAAGAAAACCTGAAAACCTCCTGGGAACCAGGGGTACAGAGAGGAAGAATGTATGAGTAGTTTTTTTGAAACCGTACTTCATCCCTGCCCACCCCACCCTAGCCTTGTCGCTGCTTGTCATCCCAGCATCTTTTTTCCTTATTAGAAATTTCCTTCTCAAGAGAATATAGTTTATGGCAATAACTTCCTTCATTGGCTAAGATATATCTACATATTCTGTATAAGGAACAGCATTTTTCAGATAGTAATATCTGCATTCCAGGTCTTAGATAACCAAATTGGAAGTTGGATCTCTCAATTTAATTCATATACAGTTATACACTAGCGTGTAATAATATCTCAGAATTTCTCTGATGTGAAGTTTTTCCTGCGTTATTTCATCACAACCACTCGATACGTTTGCCCTCCTCAAGCTCCTCTGGCTGCGTACGTCGAGCCCCCAATGATGGCAGCATCCCCCAGTCAGCCGTTCCTTCTGCGACTCCACCAGTGTTCGCTTCTGACAACAGTGCCTTTCCTTCCTTTGCTCCACTTTAATCTTTGTTGGCGAGTTTCCTCTTTTGAGTATTGATTTTTGTGAAATGCCACCTGAATCTATCACTGGAGACAAGTAAGCAGCACAACTACACGCTTTGCTGTCTGTGTGTGAACCAAATAACAGACGGGCAGTGACTAATCATGACAGAATTTGAAAAAAAGTGACATGATTTGTCACTGATTAAGATGCTCATCTGTTAAGTACGTCATGATCGGAGGACTGAAGAGTTAACAGGGAAACTTTTTTATGCAATTACTTACAGTTAACGTGTGGGAACTGAAGACTGAACCATGCTGGGACTGGTGGTATTTAACTAAATTGTGGTTCCCAAAGCTCATGCATATTGGAACCATGGAAAGAGACAACTGACTATATAAAAACTCTGAAAGTCAGTAGCAAATCCATTGCCACTATAACAAATATGGGCCTAAAATATTTAAATCATCCAAATTCCTTTATACATAAGAATTATTTTCTAGGCCAACTGAAGAGCTTATTTAGATAAGTTAACTAAAAGCCTCACCTTGAAATATAGACCAAAATAAAAACCAGTATATTAAGATGTTAGATATTTAAAATAAATAAAATCATTGAGTAACTAGAAGTAAATACAGTAGATTTAAATTGTATCAAGCCTCTGAAGGAACCAGATGAATTTCAAAAATGAACACATTTTATTACATAAAAATTTTAAGTGTGGCCCTAACCGGTTTGGCTCAGTGGATAGAGCATCAGCCTGTGGACTGAAGGGTCCCAGGTTCAATTCCAGTCAAGGGCATGTACCTTGGTTGCGGGCACATCCCCAGTAGGGGGTGTGCAAGAGGCAGCTTATCGATGTTTCTCTCTCATTGATGTTTCTAACTCTCTATCCCTCTCCCTTCCTTTCTGTAAAAAAAAAATCAATAAAAAATATATTTAAAAAAAAAATTTTAAGTGTGTGTGTGTGTGTGTGTGTGTGTGCGCGCTGAAGTAAAAAAGACAAGAACAAACCATAGCAACAGTGGTATATGAGAAAGTCTGTTTTCTAAGAATCTTGTTAGTAAAGTATATTAAATAAAAAATTTTTGTTAATTTTGTAGGCTCCCACATAACCAATGTCTGATTATTTAATATCAGTATTATTGTATGATAGTTATTTACTAAAGATTCAATATTAGTTAAATTATATTTAATTAAAATTTATTAATTTGAAATAATTGTATTAAAAACAGTGTAATGTATATTCATTATTTAAACCGAATCGTTCCTATGCTTATTTTACAATTACTGAAAAGCTTTTCTGTTTACTGTGTTTTTCCTAGAATTATCTCTGTATTCTTTTGTTCATTTATAAACTAATAATTATTTACTGAATGTATGTGTGCTCTTTTTTATATTAAACTTTCTGGGGTGGGCTCCTGTTTTCTGTAATTATTTTTCCAACTTTGCTTCCATTTCCCAGCATATGTAATATACTTAAGTCCTGTTGTGACATATTTTTCAGGGGGGAAAGAAAACCCAAAATTGATTTGTTTAGAACTTGTATTGCTGCTATTCCAAGATTGATTCCTGACGGTATGAGCAGAACTGACCTCATCGAACTGTTAGCAAGGTAAAGGAGAGTCACTGTTTGCTATGCTGACTTGTATCTCTTTTGATCCCTTTAAATCTCAAATCAGCCCTGTTACTATTATCACTAAAAGCTAATGATATAGACATTTAATCCTTTGTTTGATTTACTTTCTAAACTCCCACTTTGTCTTTCATGTTTTGTTAAACATGTTCTCCCCATTCGTGTTTAACTTTTAAAGTTCTTTTATATTCCCTTACAAAGCCCATTTTTCAACTCCCTCACTTTCTATCTGGCAGTATTTCCTGGGATTTATAAAACACGTTATCCCTTAACATGGGTGTTATGCGTGTATGATGATACGGATTAGGCAACTAATTTTTTGTTAACTCCTACCATCATTTCTTTGGCACCCAGGGTGGTGGCCAAGTCTCATTTTCACTTGTTTCTTCTATTGCATTGCCCACAGGGTTGAAGTTTTGTTTTCCCTTTGCTCTGTTAGCATGGCATAGATCTAAAAAATAAGCAAATAACGTGAACCAAACTTACATATTATCTTTCAGAACTAATTCTAAGTTGAGGTGGTGGCCTGTTGAAAACCTGCTTTGTTGATGTAGCTGAGAATTCCCTAGATGAGGGGTTCGATCGTGAATCTTTTAGGGTTTGCAGATCTTGTGATCTCTGTTACAACCGCTTGTCTCTGCCTTCGTAGCTCAGAAGCAGCTGAAGCCAGCCTGTAAAGAGAGAGCTGAGTGTCCCAGTGGGCGCCCACCAGAATGAAAGTGCTTCTATAATCGGCAGCGATGCGGCATCTAGTGCAGGAGCAAATGTCTGAGCAATGAATGACAGTTTGCTTTCCTATTTCCTTTGCTTTTTCCCCTATGACGTTTACTTACTGATTAATTTACTTCAGCAGAAAGAAAGCTTCTAGGATCTGGTCTATTTTGTCCCCTATTCCTCTTATTTGCAATTGTGATGTCCAGATCTTGTGTACTTATAAATGAAGCAAGCAGTCCAACAAATCAAAGATGCATGGTAAATGTGTAGGCCTGTATGCTGGCTCCCAGGCAAGTGCATGACGTCCCCTGCCTTAAATTAGCCAGGCTGCATTGCTGCTCTCCTCATGCATCTATACCCTGAGTTACTGAGGTAGGTGTCAGATGACATGTACACATTCGTGGATTAAGGGATGTTGAAATAACCTTTAAAGTCGGCATCATATAGTCAGTCACTCTCCTCTCCCACAGTTACCTCCCTGGGTGCCACTATCAGACACAGCACCGGGCTCGAGACCCTTAAGCTGGCCCTGTGTGACACTTCTGATGAGCTGCCGCCACTGCTGCTGCCCAGGGCTGACTTCCACGTCGGTCTCGCTGTGGTGCTTTTCCCCTTCAGTCTCATTGTCACTGAGGGCTGGCTTAGTGAAGGCCAGGCCTGGTTCAGCAGGGTGAAGGCTGTTGCCTCCGTTCACCGAAACCACCCAGCTTTCCTCCTCTGTCACTGAGGGTAACGCCAGCATCCCGCTTCCCAAGCATGTCATTGGGGCATATTTTTAAATGTCACCTGCTTTTCTTTTTCATTCAAGCTGTTTCTAATTCTGATGCTTTTGTCTTGATGGTCAGTCTCTAAACAATCCTCCTCAGGCCCAGATCAGAAACATACTCATATGATGTTATGTACTGCAGCCATCTTTTCTGTGTGTGTTTTCCTAATCATTCTCTTTATGTTCTGTTATAATCCTTTAACTTCATCATGTTCATGTCCCCATATGGTTTTGATGTCTTTAAAAGGCAATTTTATATAGCCTCTCCTCTGATTTGTTTAGCCTTAACACTGTCTTTAGGTGTTAGTTTGAGAATGTTTTATTTTTCCAGGTATACTACATTTATGAGGTTACTACTAAATGTATGCTCATTCTCACCTTCAACAAATATTTCTGTTAAATTGATTCCATCTTTTTTTGTTCTATTTCCTTTCTTACAACTAGCCATCTTATATTTAACAATAACCTCAGCAGCATGAAAGGAATGATAGAGGTAAATCATGTTCTTCCCAGTGATAGTAAAGGACTGAATAAATGTGAGATGGCACTAAGACATTATATGATTGCATTTAATTATTGATTGATTAGAGGATAACATTGTATTTTAAGAATTAAAGGATTTTTAAATATAATGCTGATATGGCAATCTGTATTTCCCTAAGTATGGCATTTGCATTATGATCAACATTATTCTGAGTTACAGTAAAAATACCAGCTAGTATTAGTAGGTTGATATGTGAATTTAAACAAGTGAATATAGACCAGCATAGGAATGGATATAACACAAAAAGTGAACGTTGGTTTCTATCTTCATACTTGGTGCAAACCAGTTAAGAGGCCATGTTCACCAAGTTCTTAGTTTTAAGATGCAGGTGATAAAACGCCTTGGAAGGTTGGGGGTTTGCTGACGGACCTTTGTTCCCGGCAGGCTCACGGTTCACATGGATGAAGAGCTGCGTGCTCTCGCGTTCAATACCCTGCAGGCTCTCGTGCTCGATTTTCCAGATTGGCGGGAGGACGTGCTTTCGGGATTTGTCTATTTCGTTGTCCGTGAAGTGACTGACGTCCATCCCACACTTCTTGATAATGCTGTAAAGATGTTGGTACAATTAATAAACCAGTGGAAACAGGCAACTCAAATGCATAACAAAAACCAGGACTCACAGGTATCGTATTCTTTTGTGTGGTCCCTTGGAATGTGATCAGTGGTGTTAATGTATCAAACCCTAAATGTTTTATTCACTTTATTCATTTTCAAAGTGTTTATAATCCCTGAAACTGAGTTTTCCTGTAGTTCATATCTTGAATATATCATCTTTCGTGTCTAACCTTCTTCCTTTGATAACAGTGAGTTTTGTATGGACGTAGGTAGTAGAGGCGATTCTAGTTCAGATTTAGGTTGTTTCCAATATATTTAAAGCTGGTACAATAAAAAACGTGGGTAGCCTTTCATTTGAGTTATTTGATAGTTTTGTCCTTGGCACCAGTCCCTATTTCTCATATACAGTTTGTGTCCTTCTTAACCATGAAAGGTGCCCAAATTATTGATTTATGATAATGTGTAAGTCGTAGAACCTTGGAATTTTAGAAGTGGATCATAAGCCAACCCAGCTTCCCAGCCTTTAATGAGCATATAAATCACCAGGGGCCTGAGAATCCATTTCTAACAAGTTCCCAGGTGATAACCGCTGCTGGGCCTCGGCTCTGAGTACAAAGGATACAGTCCGGTCCCCTCACACTCCACGTAGAAATGTCAGCCCAAGAGTGACTAATAGTGTCAGCTCCAAGGTGACAAGGTAGCCACTGAATGATCGAGGTGAGATACGGAATGCTTGTTTAGACTGCCAGTGACCAGTCAGCGCTTCTTCCTCCGCTATGTACACTATTACATGTTTATCAATTCAGGATGATTGAAATTGCTTGAGCTGAGACAGGCTTGTAGCCTTAATTTCTATGACTTACTTTACTCTTAGTTGTTTTACTAGAATGTCTATAAGTGCATTTTGAAGCTTCATTTTTTAACTCCTGTTTCTTTTTGAAGCATGGTCTAGCTAATGGCGCTTCCCACCCCCCTCCTCTGGAAAGGAGCCCGTATCCCAGTGTATTCCATGTGGTCGAAGGGTTTGCTCTCGTCATTCTCTGTAGCAGCCGGCCTGCCACGAGGAGATTGGCCGTCAGTGTCCTTAGAGAAATACGGGCTTTATTTGCACTTTTGGAAATACCCAAGGTAAGATTTAGATGCTTCATTTACTTCCCTAATGAAAATACTAAAAAACTATCCTTCTGTCCATCTTTATTACATTTCTGTTACTATCATGCAAGTATAACTTACTCCATAACAAAGTCTTTTTGACAGGGTCTTAACTAACCCACCTCAATTCCATTTGTAACCAGTAGTGCTAAAGTGAATGTGAATATTTATTTAAATTTGGCTACTTTTCTTAAACATTCTTAAATTTCTCCCGGCCGGTGTGGCTCAGTTGGTTGATCATCGTCCCATGAACCAGCAGGTCATGGTTCAATTTCTGATCAGGGCACATGCCCAGGTTTCCTGTTCCATCCCCAGGAGCGGGCGTGCAGGAGGCAGCCGATTGATGTTTCTCTCTTATCGATGCTTCTACCTCCCTCTCCCTCTCCCTTCCTCTCTCTGAAATCAATAAAAACATATTTAAATTGTTTTAGACATATGTTGTCTTTTTTATAGGGCGATGATGAATTAGCCATAGATGTGATGGACAGGCTGAGCCCATCCATTCTTGAGAGCTTCATACATCTCACGGGGGCCGATCAGGTAACTGTAGTGATTTCTGTAACTGTAATGTACTGCAGTGCAGTGATTGTAATGAATGATGCTGTTCAGTCTTGTTTTAGAACCTAAGTCACATATATACATGAATTTTCTTTACAAATGTAATGCATTAGAACAGTGGTTCTCAACCTTCTGGCCCTTTAAATACAGTTCCTCATGTTGTGACCCAACCATAAAATTATTTTCGTTGCTACTTCATAACTGTAATGTTGCTACTGTTATGAATCGTAATGTAAATATCTGATATGCAGGATGGTCTTAGGCGACCCCTGTGAAAGGGTCGTTCAATCGCCAAAGGGGTCGCGACCCACAGGTTGAGAACCGCTGCATTAGAAAGTATTTTTGAAAACTGTACTTTAAAAATTAAAAATACTTTTTAAAAATTGGCACACAATAAAAAAAAAAGTTGCAGTGGTTTATTTCTATGGTTAGTATACTTCCCCATAGCAATAAAAATATTTTATCTTTGTAAAATTCCAGTCTTTTTGATCTAAGAAGTTCCTCTTAAACCTAACGTTACTGTTAACTATTTTTTTTTTTGTTGCTATTTATTATGGCATATAATACTTTATATATATACTGGTTAAATTACTATGGAAAATTTTGTTGAAATTTGTAGCAAAAAATTGCACTCTATCTTCAATAAATGTATTTGTTTACTTTGCCATATAAGTTTAAATGCAGTGTAGTATTTTATGCTAGTCATACTATAATTTGACTCATTAAAATGAAGAAAAAACTGTATTTTTTACATTACTAAGAAAACGTGTGCAGACTTGCTTAGTTGACTTTGAATTTTTTAAAAAAGTCATATATTAAGATTTCAAGATTGATGTAAGAGTAACTATCAGACTTTACTACCTGACATTCTTTTTATTCCTGTTTTGGAATGCATGAACCGACCAGAGGTTTATGTGCTTTCTGCGTAACACTTGGTTTTTACAACTCACGGATTATGTGTAACCAAAGGAGATAATAAGAAAACTTCATAAATATAAGAGATGGTTATAAATCTGTACAGTTTCAAGAATTCTGTTTTAGATGATTAACCTGAATTATGCTGACAAAAAGAGTAGTGGATGGCTCTCTTTTAGTGCCTAACGCAGTGCCTGGCTCTTAGTGGGTGCTTTATAAATATCAGTTGAATGATGGAGTAAATTGAGTCTCTGTTCAGCTTAAGGCTCCATTTTTGTTTGAATGACATATAATTTGTTCTGAAGGTAAATCCTTCTCTTCAGTATAAGATCCCAGAATATTACTGAGCAAATATTTATGAACTAGAGGCCCGGTGCACGAAATTCACCCTCTCCAATCTGGGACCCCGATGGGATCAGGCCTAAACGGGCAGTCGGAGATCCCTCTTACAATCCGGGACTGCTGGTTCCCAAACGCTCACCTGCCTGTCAGCCTGATCACCCCCTGCCAGCCTGATCAATGCCTAACTGCTCCCCTGCCAGCCCGATTGCCCCCAACTGCCCTCCCCTGCTGGCCTGGTCACCCCTAACTGCCCTCCCCTGCCGGCCCAGTCATCCCTAACTGCCCTCCCCTGCAGGCCCGGTCCCCCCCAACTGCCCTCCCCTGCCGGCCCAGTCACTCCTAACTGCCCTCCCCTGCAGGCCTGGTTCCCCTCAACTGCCCTCCCCTGCAGGCCTGGTTCCCCTCAACTGCCCTCCCCTGCTGGCCTGGTTCCCCACAACTGCCCTCCACTGCAGGCCTGGTTCCCCACAACTGCCCTCCCCTGCAGGCCTGGTTCCCCTCAACTGCCCTCCCCTGCAGGCCTGGTTCCCCACAACTGCCCTCCACTGCAGGCCTGGTTCCCCACAACTGCCCTCCCCTGCCAGCCATCTGTGGCCGCCATGTTGTGTCCACATGGGGGCAGCCATCTTTGTGTTGGAGTGATGGTCAATTTGCATATTACTCTTTTATTAGATAGGATATACACCTCTGGAGAGGAGCCCATTTCCCAGTCTGTTCCACTTAATCTGTAGAGCACGTCCGCATGAAAGTTAACAGTTTGTTTTGGGGCTCTCTAGCTGCTGCAGTGCACCCACAAAAATTGCATAGTCATATATGAATTATGTAAGTAGTGGTCCTCAGCCTTTTGGTTTTATAGATTCTTTCGAGAATAATGAAATCTATGGAATCTCTCTCCCAGACAAACACATGTAGGCACATGCACACAAACCCTTAAGTCCAGTTTCAGGAATTCACTACTCTCTTATACCCATCTTGGAGCTCATATTAACCTGCTTTGGAACCTCTGTTCTTGAAACTAGCAGCAGGCCACTTGTAGTTGAAAGCAGTTCCTGTGGCAGAACTTCAGTCATGAAGTGTGCAGTAATCAACGTTTTCTCTCTCCCTAGACTACTTTGCTGTATTGCCCTAGCTCGATAGATTTACAAACATTAGCAGAATGGAATTCTTCTCCTATCAGCCACCAGTTTGATGTGATTAGTCCATCACACATATGGATATTTGCACACGTGACCCAAGGCCAAGACCCATGGATTATAAGTCTCTCCAGTTTTTTAAAGCAAGAAAACCTTCCCAAACACTGCTCTACAGCTGTGAGCTATGCTTGGATGTTTGCATACACAAGACTTCAGTTGTTGTCCCCGCAGGTTGATATAAAGTAAGTGTATATGTTTTTGGTATTTCTGTATATTTATGCTAATTATGTACCTATGTAGATTCTCAGGTATTGTGTATTGGGTGTTTTGTTTTTTTGTTTGTTTTAATGATGATCGACACTTTTCACCTTGTGTAACATTTATGACCCTACCTTATTCAAGTCTCCCCTAGTTACCATATTTTAAATTATTAGTCCCTCTTCTACCACCACTTCTATCTCACCATTTGCTCTATATTTCGACATTAAACTTAGCACCATCTGACATTGTTTTTTGTTTTGTTTCATTTCTTAAATCTCACCTGAGGATATTTTTCCATTGATTTTTAGAGAGAGTGGGAGGGAGAGGGAAAGACCGAGAGAAACATCGATGAGAGAAACACATCGATTGGTTGCCTCCTGCATGCACCCTGACCAGGGCCCAGGTGGGTTGGGGCCTGCAACCAAGGTACGTGCTCTTGACCAGAATCGAACCCAGGACCCATTGATCTGCAGGCCGACGCTCTATCCACTGAGCCAAACCAGCGAGGGCCTGACGTTTTGTTTGTTTCTTTATGGTGTATCTCCTCCAGCAAACACGTTGTTAATGGGTGTTGCAGGTTTTTGTTTTGCTGCTGTCACAGGTGCTCTGAACATTCTCTAACATGCTAAGACAGTGTGGATGAATTAATGAACTTGTAGATGTGCTTTACTCACCTTCATTGCCCCTAGCATTAGTTTTCTTAAAAAATTTCAAAAAATGTTGTGTTATTTATCTGTTTTATTTTTGTTTGTTTGTTTTGTTTTTTTCCTCAGTAGCCCCATCAATGCTAAGAAAGTGAATATGACCACAAGCAGTGACTCGTACGTCGGCCTGTGGAGAAATTACCTGCTCCTGTGCTGCAGCGCAGCCACGTCCACGTCAGCGTCTCCGTCTGCAGGGTCCGTGAGGTGCTCTCCTCCCGAGACGCTGGCGTCCACCCCCGACAGCGGCTATAGCATCGACTCCAAAGTAAGCTTGCCAGGCCCGCCCATGCACCAGGTGCCACAGAAGTCATGTGTCAAACTTTCTTTTCCAGGACCATAAACTAAGTTGGTTGAAAAAGTGTATTTGTTACTTGCACTGATAATTTAAAAAAAAAAAAAAGAGTTCAAGAAATCCCAATACTGCTTTTATGGAGTCCTAGTTGGAATAAAAAACTAAATGTAGTTTTTCTTCACGGAAAAAAGTGCCATACTCATTAAATTCATCAGAATGGATATTTTTAAAGTCGTTCTCATCCCTGTTTTCCTTTCATTTTCTATAGTTTTCACACTTCTTAGTATCCGAAAGGAATGATTTAAATGATTAAATATATTTTTAATTTCCCTAAATTATGTAGTGATATAAGTGACACTTGACAAGAACAGTTATCTAGTCTTCATGATATGACAAAAAATATTACGAGGTGGCTGAGGAAATTGAGAAAACGTAACACTTGGGGGCCCACTTCAACACCAATGGCTCTTTTAGAAATAATTTTGTTCCACTCATTTTTGGAACAAAAAACACAGGCTATGTGAGGGAGGGAGTCAGCCTGTTATCTGATGGTGAGACCCTGAGAGACCCACAAAGCCCAGTTCCGATAATGAACCTGCAGTGAATCGTTGCGTAAAGTGTGTAGATGTTTAGGTATGTGCACCACAGGTGAATTTTGAAGCCCCATTCATTCTGAAACTTTACTTATCCATTGTCCTTGGCCAAATAGTGTTGAAATGTGAAATTATTTAGTTGGATGTACTATCATTAGCAGGTGCTATAAATACTTTTTTTTTTTTCCAGATTATTGGAATCCCATCCCCTTCATCCTTGTTTAAGCACATAGTTCCAATGATGCGCTCTGAGAGCATGGAAATCACAGAGTCCCTTGTTCTAGGCCTTGGCAGGACCAACCCAGGAGCTTTTAGGTAATTATCTGTATATGTTTTCTCCATGCACTAAATGTAAATGTGGCTGCAGGGAGAGAGGGGGCAGTGGAGTACTTATCGGGAGAGCCACTTATCAGTCCTTTTACTGGTTAACTGGCCATGTAACATTTAACAAGTCACTTAATTTATTTGAGCCTTTACTTCCCCATTTTGATTGAGGAAATAAGATTTTACCTTACTGTCTTCACAGAATGATTATGAAAATCAAATATTTACTATGTATAAATATGTTCCGGAAATAAAATGGTGTTTAAATCTTAACATTCCTACCGAATTTATTTACACAGTGATTCTACTAACTTATAATCTCATTCTATTGGTTAAAACTATAGTTTTTTCCCCCCTCTTAAGATAATTGAATTATTTTTAAAAGTAATATTGACACACATATTTTACATAATTCTTGATTTTTTTTTATATAAATGAAGCAAATCCATCATTTTTGCCCAAAGTTCTGCTTTGTTATTGCCTTCTAGGCTTTGGATTTATTGTTTTGAGATTATCCTCCATTGATATGAGGTAGTATTTGATGTTTTGCCTCCAAGATGATATGCACAATAGAGACTAAATTGTAATATGTGAGGTGCGGGAATAGCATTCATTAAAAAGGAAATTTTTTAAGATTATTTTATGACAAGTGGTGCTAGTAGCAAAAAATGGGATACAAAAATTATCTCAGCTTCTTAAAAATCAAAATCCCATAAATTGAAACAGTTCTGAGGCAAATACTTTGTCTGTGGTAGTTTCTATAGATCAGGGGTCCTCAAACTTTTTAAACAGGGGACCAGTTCACTGTCCCTCAGACCGCTGGAGGGCCGGACTATAGTTTTAAAAAAAACTATGAACAAATTCCTATGCACACTGCACATATCTTATTTTGAAGTAAAAAAACAAAACGGGAACAAATACAATATTTGTATTTGCATGTGGCCCGCGGGCCGTAGTTTGAGGACCCCTGCTATAGATGATAAAATTGTGGATGGGTTTCATTTTCTTCTGCTGCTTTTTCTGTTTCCCCAATCTTCTATAACAACCACATTTTTCATTTTAAATCAGAACATAAGTAAAGATAAAATTATCATGTTCATGAAGTTTATACCATTTGACCCATTAATTCCATTTGTAAGAATTAATTCTATGGAAATAATCAGAAATAAAGGCAAAGGTTAATGTACAAAGATGTTTACTGAGGCAGTATTTATAATAACAAAAATTATATCAAATTTAATGCATCAGTAATATATGGAATGTTAAGGAAAAGTATGATTTCCACCCTATAATAGAATACTGTGAATTGATTAATTGCATATAAAAGTCCTTATGCTAGTACTAAGTAAAGAAAAAAAAGGATACCATCATATATATGATAGGGTTTCAACTATGTGAGATGTATGTGGGCTGCAAAATGATTGAACAGAAATGTTGACAGTACTTACTTCTATAAATTCAGATAAGTGGCCTATACCATTTTTTCTGCTTTTCTAACATTCTACAATATACAGATTTGTTTTATAACCAAAACAATAAAAATTGTGTTTTAAACAGTAGGATTAGGGTTAACTGTGGTCTATTTACCTCAATATATTAATATTTACATATTTGCACATCAGGTTATATCTGTTCAGCTATTAATTGAAAGAATGTATATCATTTTTCTTCTAGGGAACTGATAGAGGAATTGCATCCCATAATTAAAGAAGCACTCGAAAGAAGGCCAGAGGTAAAATGTGTAGTTTTCTATTATTAAATATTTGTTTGGCAAACACTTATTTGTCTTCTGTATTTTACACATTATACCAAAGTTAGAAATTCAGAAGTAAATAAATAAAAGATTGGCTACTGTAGTTTTCAACCTTTTTTTTTTTTTTTTTTTTAATATACAGACCTCTTTCTTCCCACACAGGAGATCTTATGCAGAAACAAATTCCTCTAGCTGAAGTGAGGACAGTTGGAGTCTAGAGCGGGGTCAGCAAACCTTTGTTGTAAAGAGCCAGATAGTAAATATTTTCAGCTTTTCTGGCCACACTGTCACTGTTGCAACTACTCAGTTTTGCTGCATAGACTACTAAACAAGCGGGTGTGGCCATATTCTAATAAAACTTTATTTACAGCAACAGGCCAAATTTGGCCTGAGTGTCATATTTTGCCAATCCCTGGCCTGGATCCCCAAATATAAAGATGTGTGTCAGGTTCTGAGCCACTTACAGAAACCATAGGTCCAGTGGAACAGACACGTGTGAACCATAATTGTAACAATATGTTGCACTCTGGGATAAAGCCATAGATAAGGGGCCATACAGCTACGGAGAAGAAAGCCTTCGGCCCTGCCTGTGGAGGAAGGGAAGGCATTTTGGATGAAGCACTGATACTTTGAGGTGAATTTTGAAGTATGTTCCCCAGTGGACAAGCAAGGGAAAGACATTCCAGGCAGAGGAACAACATTTCCAAACTTCATAAAAGAATCTGGCCATTGCAGGTTCTTTTGTGTCATTATATAAGGGGGAAAGGGACTGATTATGCTGGAGAGGAAGACAGGGGGGACTCCTGGTTCAGCTGTATTCGGATGACCAGTGGTCCCCATAGGACACTGGCATCTGAGAAATGCCTGGAGAGCCTGCTGAAAATACAGGTTTCTGGGCCTATTGAAGGAGCATTTCTAGAGTGGAGCCCAGAAACTGTTTCTTAAGTATCTTAGTTGAGTCTGGTGTAGAGCACTGAGTATCCGTGTTATTAACATTGGAGAGTCACAGAGGAATTTAAACAAGAGAGGAAGATGGTGAGAAGAGCTACTCTGCTAGAGACTTTAAAACAGCATCCAGCCCTGTAGAGCAAGCATGTCAAACTCAAAGGCTGACACGGGCCAAATAAACAAGGTTTAAGTTTATGGGGGCCGCAAAAAAACAAAAGCTTCAATTTTCATAGAAACGTAGGTTTATTTTGATAGAGACATGCTGAATACAAAGGGCTGAAATAAATGAGTAATTGTTAACATAAAATAATAGAACATTTTAATAAAAATTAATATTTTTTCTTGAGCATTAACTTACCAGACACTGAATAACTGCACAAATTAATAAGCATAATGCAAATAAACCTATTTTTCTTGTTCTCCGAAAGCGAAATATTTCCTGTTACACACACCAAACAAATCAGTCCAAGACTAATGATGTGGCAATCGGCTGCTAAAATATTCGCTGCTGGTATTAGGGGAGAGAAATGGTGCGCCTGCACGTAAGGCGCATAAGGGAAATGAATGCAACACGATTATAGTAATCAGTCACTAGCGAACGTTGTAGTTTGTTATTAATAATTATGTATAACAGGATATTGTAAAAATTAAGCTACAAAATTTTTATGAAAACGTTTCTTACATACCGTTATATTGGCTGGGCCGCAAAAATATTTGTTGTGGGCCCGCGGGCCGTGAGTTTGACATGCTTGCTGTAGAGAGTGGTGACAATATTCCCGTTTTGTAATTAATCCGATTTTTGTTTCAGAATGACTTATTAGGGGGAAGTGAAATCAGAAACAAAATTAAGTATCAGTACTTATATTACATTTCGGGGGGCGGGGGAGTCATCAAAGCAAGTGAATAGATGTGTACAGTGTTGTACCTTGAATGTAAGATATATTTTCAGAGCTTTAGGTTCACAGTCTTTCTATGGAGACAAAATAAAAGCCAATCAACTAAAACTTTGCAGAAATCTTCAAAGACTGTTAAGAAGCCATCCTGGTCAATATGAGTGAATTGCTGGAAACTTCATAAAGAGCTAAAATACTTTTTTTTTAACCTGGCTTGAATATTTATGTATTCTGAAAGGCAAAAAACTAGTGTGTGGACACAAAAGTGGAAGACTAATAACTATGTTGTTAATCGCTCTGTATTACACAGATTACATTATAACCAAATAATCCAAGGAAAGGAGTGAGATAGCTCCGTCCTAGTGCTGTTCCCCTTAGAAGCTGACTCAGGTTGAGGTGTTGCACCTGTTTACTCTCAGCATGAGTACTTCAGCCCTAATCAGACAGAACATTTACTCATATCAGAATGAGTAAAGACATTTTTATTCTGTTGTTCTTGTATTTATTTTTTGTGTGTCAAAATTCAATGTTAAAATGGAAAACGTAGGCATGACAAAATCAGAGGACTCTTCTGTCCCTCCTGTGATGTTTTCCCTGCCCTGCTGTCCTATTTGGGGGAGTATATTAGGGATTCTTTGTCAAAGAGAACAGTTTAACTAAAAGCTTCAGTTCTTCAGTCAGGTTGGTAAATCACCTAAAAGTAACGGTAGAATTTTTATTTTCCTCCCCCATACAAGGGGTATCAATCACTGTGGAAAATGTCATGTGATTTTATTTGCTCATTAATTTCAAACTATCTACACATATCTCTTTGGTGCAGTAGCTACCAGAGAGCTTGAAATCTGTATTAACACAACCAACAGAACTTCAATAAGCCACAAAGCTCTAAGGCAGTGGTTCTCAACCTTCCTAATGCCGCGACCCTTTAATACAGTTCCTCATGTTGTGGTGACCCCCAATTTCATTGTTACAAATTGAACATAATTAAAGCCTAGTGATTAATCACAAAAACAATATGTAATTATATATGTGTTTTCCAATGGCCTTAGGCGACCCCAATGAAAGGGTCGTTCGACCCCCAAAGGGGTCGCTACCCACAGGTTGAGAACCGCTGCTCTAAGGAATTCGCAGTATTCTTTGCAAGTCACACCTTTGCAAGGTTTTTGATAAATTTCCCCGAAGGATTTTTAATTGATATCTTTGTATCCTTGGAATAGAATATGAAACGGCGCAGGCGTCGAGACATTCTACGAGTACAGCTGGTACGAATATTCGAACTGCTGGCAGATGCTGGTGTCATTAGTCACAGGTCAGTGCCGGATTTTGCTCTTTTAAACTTTGAAATAATTAGGGAACATATTTTTTTCTCTCATGAAACCTAACAGAAAAACACCTTTGCACCCAAAAACCCTGTCTGCATTACTTGTAAACATTACTTACCAAAGTCAAAGCTGCATCCAAGAAATTAGCTAATGGCTAAAAAATGTATTTCGAAATCTAACATTAGCGCTAGTTTGCTTTGAGGTAAAAATTGGATATAATGTTCCTATGATTTTGGTATTTGTTGGAATCTAGTAACCCAGGCAAGTGGGTAATAGCCTCTTTATTATTATTATTACTGATTTAACTATTTCTTACCTCATTTTTAAGATCTATTTCTTCTAGATTTGTAAAAATCACACATTTAAAGGTGCCGCATAATAAAGTTTGCATATTTATTCCATTCAACTGTTAATCTATCTTGCTGGGGGGAAATATGAAACATAATTTGTAACTGTTTTCACCCCTCACCTATGAAAACATAAAGCCTGGGATTGTTGCTGGACTAGAGGCATCTGGACACTAAGAGCAACCCCTGGCGGAGAATTTCGTCAGCTTAGTGTTGAGCAATAACTATTTCTTAGGAGGTAATGGTGTTGCCTGGTCGTTGAAAGAGGAAAATATGCATTTGACCATTTCCCAAAAAAGGTAACTCAAAAGAGATCGTGAAGGTCTTAATAATCAAGCAAGTGTAGGATTGTTACTTTAGCATTTATCCTCGTTATTTCTGAGTATGCTTTTGACAAGTGCTTTTAAAATAGAGCTTTAATCAATGAGAATTTAAACCCTTGGTTTACCATTCTTTTACAGAAAATGGAAAGAAAGAAAAAAGAAACATTCTGTTTTCTGCCCCCCACAAAAATAAAGCAGTCAAAGTTAGAAAAAAGTAAACTTGAAACTTGCTGGGCTTGATGCATAAAATTAACCTAATACACATCTGAATCATCTTTCTTCTCCTTTGGTTGCTTTTAATGTATGTTAATGAATGAAGAATCTTTGAACGATATTGTCTGGGAACTGCAAGATGTTGGCTTACTTAAAATTTAACTGCGAAAGCTGTACTCGTTGTTGAGCAGTAATGGTTTTGAACATAGTTATGTGCTTTGTTTTTGGTTTTTTTTAAGAGAAATGAATATAACAGTATTGTATGACTGGCTTTTTATTTCCTTGACTAAGTCGAAAAGATGAATTCTCAATGTCAAGAAGGCAAAGATACTTGTTTGGTTGACCTAATTGATCCTATGTACATTGTAGGTAACTCAGTGAATATTTCTTAAATCAGTGGATTCTGGGCCAGGTTGCAATCTGCTAAATTAGTTCTCATTCACCAATAAGGCATGGCCTGGAGTTTAAACACTCATTGACAGAATAAAGGAAAAATTTTCATCATGAATTCATTCAATATACAGGGTGGGCAAAGTAGGTTAACAGTTGTGAATATGCAGAACATAGAATTTATTCTTGTATTATTATTTATCAATGTGTTGTTTTCCATATGAACAACTGTAAGCCTACTTTTGTCCCACCCTGTAATGTAGATGTTTATTAGAAGCTATTCACTAGTAAAAAATAATTTAATTTTAAAATCACATATCTTAGATGTACTTTTCAAGTATAACACAGAAAAGCTGACCAAAATAAATGTAAACATCATAGCTAATCATTTATGTAGCACTTATAGTTCATTGGGCCTTTCATATATAATGTCAGTTATATTTCTAGTCAAATGCTCTGAAGCAGATACTAATCTCAGGCTTAATAACTGATGGAACAAGAGTGGAATCCAAGACTTCTGACTCCAACCAGATGACCCTCTTCCACTCAGTGGGTTCTGGGTACCAGAGCCTTCGCCTCAAAGAGAATCTTATTGCAGAGATTCTTGAGGCAGCCCCATGGGGCTAGGCTAGAGCCAGGGGTGGGCAAACTTTTTGACTCAAGGGCCACAATGGGTTCTTAAACTGGACCGGAGGGCCGGAACAAAAGCATGGATGGAGTGTTTGTGTGAACTAATATAAATTCAAAGTAAACATCATTACAGAAAAGGGTACAGTCTTTTTTTTTTTTTTTTTTAGTTTTATTCATTTCAAACGGGCCGGATCCGGCCCGCGGGCCGAGGTTTGCCCATGGGTTGGAAGAACAGAAAGATTTAAAAACCAGTCAGGGCAGAATTCCTTTTTATTTGTATATCCCAAATAATACTTGTCCTGGAGTTGTGCTAAAGGTATAATATGAATATGAATATGCATATTAACTATGAGACTGGGTAGTCTTTCCTCTTCCTTCCTTTCTAAATTGGTCCTCCCTATCCCGTATGCCTCCTTATTTCCTTACTTTGAAAGCTGTATATTTTGATGGAGAGGGAATAACACTTAGCACTCAGAATAGTTGATTCAAGTTGGATATGGGACTGAATAATAGAAATTGCGGTAGTAGTTCCTTGATTAAGAAGCACCTTTTATTTTTACATAACGCCTGAGCTATGGAGCCAACTGCAAGAAGCACCATTTATTTTTATATCTAAGTAAGCCAAGCACACATTCATTTAACTTTTGTGTATTGAATTGCATGCTCCCATGAGCATGCAGAGTTCCAATTTTGATTACTTGGAATTTGTTTTGATTTACATTTATAGTTTAAAATCACGTTTTCTTTATCACTTATTTTCTTGAATATTTTCAGTGCAAGCGGTGGCCTTGATAATGAAACACATTTCCTCAACAACACGTTATTGGAGTATGTAGATTTAACTAGACAACTCCTGGAAGCGGAAAATGAAAAGGACTCTGACACACTGAAGGACATACGATGCCATTTTAGTGCCTTAGTGGCGAATATCATTCAGAATGTTCCAGGTACGAGCTTTAGTTTCTTAAGCTACTGTTGAATATTGAGGGACCACCATATTCTTTCCCTCAGGTTCTGTAATCTAAGTTGATGAAGCAACTTGTGAGCATACTGGGTAAATGTGTCAGTATTCCATGAATGGCAAGAGTGTTTTGCTTTTGAATCACTATCAGTGGTTAGAAATTTTAAAAAAGCAACCCAGCATAGATTTTCAACGATCAAGACAGCAATGCAGAAATGTGAAAAAAAAATCAATAAAATAAGCTCATTGGACAAACTTGTTCTAGATGCAAGAGCCAAAAGCATAATGCCCTAAGTGATAATTGAGGATAGAATTAATGAGATACTTTTGAATAATGGATAGGATATGGGCCATAGATATAAAGTACAAGGATACAGTGTTCACTGAATGATTCATTCAACACATACGTGCCTGTAACTGAGCACATACTATATGCCGGGTACTGGTTCAGGCACTGGGAATATGGATACATGCAATTTCATTTCAAAAAGTTATAAATACTTTACAAGTGAAAGACAAAAAGGTAACTATAGCCTTTAGCATACAATGTAAATACAAATGTTCCTTTTTGTTTCTGGGAAAAATTAAAGTTACCTTAAAAAGTATATGTGAACAGTTGGCTTTTAAAGTAAGAGCACAGTTGTGTTTTTGTAAAAGGGTCCTGTACGAACTTCTCCAGGTATATTATTTTCAATTGCAGGAAACCTACTTTGAACTTTTGGGGCAAATGATGCTTTTAAGAGGAAAGGAGCACTTTTCCCCCCTCTAAATTTTCTGATCTGAAGCTCACTAATGTACAGATATAATTTAATCAATTGCTAAACACTTATCTGCAACTCCCACATTGATTCGTGATGACACGGTTGCATTTCCTCAACACAGACCGCTGCCGAGAGCTGGTAGAATGGGCTTTTAAAATGGAAAGAATCCTTGGAGAGCCTGCCTCTCAGCCGGTGGTTTTCAGATTATGTTGTCTTCCCTCTGGTGCCGGCAGCAAGAGGCAGCAGAGTGGGTTTGGATGCAGGCGGCACACTGTGCTTAGATCAGCCCCCCTTTTATTTGTTTTGTATATAAAGCGGCTACGTGAGGATTCTTTCATAAACACAGCTGCACCGCTGAAAACATGCAAAGTTTTAAAATAACGTCTGTAGTCCGAAGCTCTCTCTTGAGAGAGATCAGCCAGCCAAGATCAGAGTTGTGTTTGTGTTGCTAATGCCCTGGCCAAGCTCACCATGGAGCCAGCAGCAGCCCAGGGGCAGCAGGTGTCCCCCCCACCCCCACCCCCTCCCACCGTAAGGCAGGCCCCGGTGACGGGCTGGGACCTTGGTGCTGTCACTCGCCTCTGTGTAAACGATTTGTCACTAGAGAGGTTTTCGATTTGTCACTAGAGAGGTTTTCGTTACGTCAAAATGAAAACATTTCTGTTTTCCAATGTTACGTATTGAATAGCAAACAAGTTGAAATGCACTTTAAAGTGAAAGAAATGGAAATGACTTTTTCTCCCTCTGTGTCCTTCACAGTGCACCAGAGAAGAAGTATTTTCCCTCAGCAGAGCCTTCGTCATAGTCTGTTCATGCTGTTCAGTCACTGGGCAGGCCCTTTTAGCATCATGTTTACTCCCCTGGACAGATACAGTGATCGAAATATGCAAATTAACAGACATCAATACTGTGCACTAAAGGTATTTACTTAGAAATCTGATTGCTTTTTTCTTATGTTAGGAGTGTAGTTAAAATTTTTGTCTCTCAATGTCTAGTGTTATAAAAAGGGTAGGGATTTCTCCTGAGTACCTGAGAGTATTGGAATGTATATATTTGCTTGCTGTATTTTTGTACTGTAAGTTTATTTAAATACATAAAATACAGTACAACGTAAGAACCTTCAGAATCTACCCCAAATTTTGAATTCCATTGTCTTAAAGAACTGAGGATCACCTAAAAGAAATACCCATTTTTTCCCTACTTAAGTGCTTTCTCTTGCTTGTTTTGTTTGTTTGTTTGTTTGTGTTTGTTTGTTTGTTTTGCTTCTTTTCTGTTACTGTTCAAACTCCATGTCTAATTTGGTACCATGATACTTACTACTCATAATAAATTACTTAGTTTCAAAAATCGCTATTGTGCTTTTCTTTGTTAAGACAGAAAGGTGTTGTAGCTACACAAGCATGAGTGAAAATAGCCTGCCTCTTCTCATTAAACAACCACACGTTACCTCCGAAATGTTTTAAATGTAATTCTAATATTATTGTTTGAAGGCTATGTCTGCTGTGCTATGTTGTGGCCCTGTTGCAGATAATGTAGGACTCTCATCAGATGGCTATTTGTACAAATGGTTGGATAACATTTTGGACTCTCTGGACAAAAAGGTAATTATCGGTAATTCCCTTAACATTTCATAATTGTCATTGCATTATCTGGAATTATCGTATGGCCCACTAAAAAAAACAAGTCGTTTTTAAAATAAGATAGGTTAGAATTACATGCAGAAAACATATTCTGTAAATTAAATAGGAAGCCATCATCTAAAATTTCTAATTCTTATTTATTACACACTCCTTGCTCGTTTCCATTCCCCTTTTATGTTGCAGGATTAATACAGCAGTGTGTATACATCTCACAATAGGGTTCTAAGTCTACAAATAAAGATTAATGTAGAACACATTGAGCTCCACGGAGGAAATGTTATTTGCTGTGTTTAATTTCTTGTTTTTGACCACCCTCCAGTTAATCATTCTTTCTTGCCCTCTGGACCCTGTGCCCTTCGCACTCTCATAGCACACGCGCACAGGCGTCACAGTTTAGGACAGAGCTTACATATTTTCCCCTCCGAATAATTTTTCTATTGGGTTATTAAAAACAAGAATAATGCTTGAGAAAAATAACTGGGGAGGGTAAAGGCTCACTTTGCTGACAGCGCTGCAGCACTGCCCATGGTCACCCACGGCCTCGGGGGCTCTGTGGGAGGAGGGAGCTGTCCTGCTCAGCATCTTGGGAACATGCCGGAGTCCATGGTTAATGGAGCCAGGTCGCTTTTTCTAGTGGCTGAATAAAATGAGAAGGAGTTGGAAGAAAAGAGACTGAGTTTTGTGTTAAATGCAATAAGTACACGCGTGATGTTTTAGTAAAATGTGGAGAAGCAGACAGTTGAATCGTATACGACTCTGTCCTGGGCGATTTTGTGACCTTTCCGTAGGTTCACCAGTTGGGCTGTGAAGCAGTGACATTACTGCTGGAGCTGAACCCGGACCAGAGCAACCTGATGTACTGGGCAGTGGATCGGTGTTACACGGGCTCCAGGAGGGTGGCTGCCGGCTGCTTTAAGGCCATCGCTAACGTTTTCCAGAACAGGTACAGTTTTTCTTAAGAAAATATTTCCATTTGAATTCAGAAATACTAATTTAGAAATATTTCCATTTGAATTCAGAAACCAATATTTTCTTAAGCTCTATCAGAAATTATCCAAAATAAGGATAATGATCATCATGCATTTGTTGTTTTACCTTTTAACCTTAAAAAAACAAACAAAAACGAAATAAACACAATAACCACCCAGTCACCTCTTGGGCTTGGCTGCTGCGTGCCTGCCTTCTGGCCCTGGTATAACATATGTATTAGCTTGTGTGAAGGCCTCTAAATATTACGTTCCTAACATGTGGAATTTGTCCCTAGGGATTATCAGTGTGACACAGTGATGCTCCTAAATCTGATACTGTTTAAAGCAGCTGATTCTTCTCGGAGTATCTATGAAGTTGCTATGCAACTCTTACAGGTTTGTAAACAAATGTTAATGAAAATCTTTTTACTCGGGGCCTACTAAAGCACATCAGTCTCTTCTTGCCTTGAAAGTGTACTGATATCCAGCTTAATTTTTAATAGCAAACTCTAGAATCAATTCCTGAGGATCATTTGAAATAGAAGACAAAGGTAATATGGGTCGTTTAAGTTGTAGAGGGATTATGTGTGCCAGTGCTGATAAAAATTGAATGGTTAGGGCCTATGTATGTGTATAACTATTTCTGTTCAGATAAGACTGAGTTGAATTTTTTTTTTTTTGAGAACCAAGTGAAAAGTAATTAGCTCTTTTATGATAACCTTGTATAATTTTCCTTTATTAGGCTGAGAAATATAACCTAGAACATTAACTTGCCAGGCATGGATGCATCATTATTATACAGTGCTCAACTAATGGATAATAGATTGAGGTTCTTTACTCAATCAAGGGTTAAGAATGGGGTTCAAGGAGATGTTGATTTTCCCAAAGGGTTTGAATTACGCCCTAATGTCTTTCATTAAGAAAGTTCAAGGGGGCTGGGTGAAAAAGGTGAAGGAAGTAAGAAGTACTAATTGGTGGTTACAAAATAGTCACGGGGTTATAAAGCATAGGGAATACGGTAAACAGTGTTGTCATAACTATATATGGTGCCAGGTGGATACTTAAAATATCGGGGGGACCACTTTATAAAGTATATGATGGTCTGACCACTATGCTGTACGCCAGAAACTAATACAAAATAATGTTTATTGTAAACTGTAAGTGAGAAATAAAATTTAAAAGAAGAAAGTTCAATGGGGGGAAAAAGAGACATATGTACTACTATTTGTAATACTTTAAACAATAAAAAATAAATAAACTGCACTTGTTAAAATAAAAAAAATAAAAGAAGAAAGTTCAGTAGTGTAGCTCTTTACATAGTGTAACATCAAAAGAATTTTTAGTTTATATTCCATATTTAATGTGTAATTAACCAAGATCTGTTTGAAGATTTTACTTTCACTTACGTTTGTTTTATATAGTCATATATATGACCTGGAAAGTGGTATGTCTTTTTCAAGTAATTTTATATTAAGTTGCTGAAGTTATTTTCAAACTATGCTACTAACCCAAAGCATTGCCATTAAACACAAGGAGTGCAATGCCTTGTACATAGTTACACGTCTTTTGCAAACATTTCTTGGTATTTGAAATTAACATGTGAAGTATTTTACAATCTATATAACTATGTAATTTTTAAACTGGAATATTTCTTGGGAGGAGATATATATATATTTTAATTATAGTTGAAATGTGGAGGACCCATAACATCTTAAATTGATGGCATTACATCCCCGCAGATCCTGGAACCGAAGATGTTTCGCTATGCTCACAAATTGGAGGTTCAGAGAACAGATGGAGTGCTCAGCCAGCTGTCTCCTCTGCCACATCTGTATTCTGTCTCATATTATCAGCTGTCTGAGGAACTAGCAAGGGCATATCCTGAGCTGACTCTCGCCATATTCTCAGGTATGATCATTGAACTGGTTAGTAGTTTTTTCTTTTTTAGCAATCATTTCTGAAATACTACTTTTAGGAGATTTTAAATATATGAAAGTTGAGGTTGTTTTTGTTTGTTTGCCTTTTTTTTTTTTTTACTTAATTGTTGAAAGTATTACAAATGTCCCCTTTCTTTTGGCTTGTTTATAACTATAGAGATAAGCCAGAGAATTCAGACAGCTCACCCTGCTGGGAGGCAAGTCATGCTGCACTACCTGCTGCCGTGGATGAACAACATCGAGTTGGTAGATTTAAAACCTTTGCCCACAGCAAGGCGACATGATGATGATGAAGATGACTCCTTAAAAGACCGAGAAGTCATGGTGACTAGCAGGCGCTGGTTACGAGGAGAAGGCTGGGGGTCCCCACAAGCCACTGCCATGGTTTTGAACAACCTGATGTACATGACAGCAAAGGTAAAATGGGTTTGAACTGCTGCACAGAATTACTGTGTTCATTAGGAGGAGTAAACAAGGTTAGAAGTAGATGAGGAGATTAGATAATCCTGTGATAATCGAACATACATGCATTATAAATTCCTTTCTCTAAAATAAACTTCTCATTAGATATAAAATACCTTCGGGGGGGGGGGGCATCTAAAATCATGTAATTACAGTCAGGTGCCGCTTCATGGCAGGGATGTGTTCGGAGGAATTCGCTGTTAGGCAACTTCTTCGTTTATGAATGTCATAGAGTGCAGCCCCCTACACTCACAGCTGTATGGTGTAGTCCATTGCTCCGAGGCTACAAGCCTGAACAGCATGTACTGTACAGAACACCACGAGATTAAATCAAGTTCAAAAGAAAGTGATGCAGTCAGGAGATGCGGTAAACACTAGATATGTGAGGCTGTTGCTGGCATAACACAGCATATTGTTTTGTGGCAGACTTTTTTTTTTTAATAAGTAGAAAGAATATGCTGTATTTTCAACCAATAACAACTGTTTATTATCATTATCGAGTATCATGTACGATACACATTGTATGTGCTATACTTCTGTACAACTGGCAAACACCAGCATTACCTCAAACACATCAGTAATGTGTTGTGCTGTGATGTTATGACATGACATTGCTAGACAATAGGAATTTTTGGCTCCCATGTTATCTTCTGGGACTACCATTGTTTGTATAGTCTGTCGTTGACTGAAATGTTATGTGGCCCATGACTGTCATGGTATTTATGTATAGATTTGTTGAAAGAAATGATTATTCTTCTGAAGTATGGGAAAGATGGAAGTTTCCCGTAAAAACATTGTTTTCTGATATTGCATGATGTGACAAGTTTGCTGCCTAGTAGATAGCCTTTACTGAGATATGTGTTGTGTTTCCTGCACCTAGTATGGCGACGAGCTGGCCTGGTCGGAGATGGAGAACGTGTGGACCACACTTGCAGATGGCTGGCCGAAAAACCTGAAAATAATTTTGCACTTTTTGATCAGCATTTGTGGAGTGAATAGTGAACCAAGCCTCTTGCCTTACGTATGTATTCAAGTTGATATTTAACTTTAAAAAAAAAAAAAAGTTAAATGTGTCGTGTCAAGTCAGAGTATAGGCATCAGTAGACCAGCAGAGGCAAAGCAGGGCCAGGCTGAGGACAGTCAGGAAACAGCACATGGGTTTACTCGCTGATTTATTTAACAAATATTATCGGCCAGGCGCTCTTATTGCAGGCCAGAGGCTCTGCGGGGTTATAATCTGACGGCTGGTACAGATTTTATTTACTTAATGAATAAATCAGTAATTTAATAAAGTCCAGTCATGAGAAGGGCTGCAGAGGACTGAGAGTGAATAACTTGGCACCACGGCTGTCTGGGAGGATTAGAGGTGATGCTCAAGAGAAAGTGTTACTGAAGCAGAGACCACAGCGATAGTTTTTGCTGGGCAGGTGCTGGCATTGGGGTATCAGATGGAGCAGGGTGGTCAGTCAGAGTTCAGTGCCTAAACCCGTGTGGAAGCAAAGGAAAGCTTGGTAAGAGATAGACCATGAGGAATAAGGCAGTCTTTGCCTTGTAAGGGGGGAAGCAGTTCTTATATCTGCTCAAGTTAAGAGACTATGAAACTATCAACCATGAGTGTTGAACTGAATACACATATGCATGCAAACACATGTGCACACACTCCCTCGCCTACTTTGGGTCTTTTCCCAAAGGTCCATTCTCATGGACACCTTTGCTGGCTCATTCCATCTAAAACTGTAAGTGCCCATCCCCCACACAAGAGTCTTTTTCTTTCCCTGCTTTGTTGATTTTCCTAGTATTTATCATCATCAAACATATACAGGGTCGGGGGGTAGGAGTGGGTAAATGGAGGATAAATGGTGGTGATGGTGAAAACACCGTTCAATTACACGATTCATTACAGAATTGTACGCCTGAAACCTATATAATTTTATTAACCAATGTCACCCCAATAAATTTTTAAAAAGGAGCCATTTTTAATGACAATAATAATTCCTCAATTATTTTTTAAATGATACAGGTACTTCATCTACATTATTTCATTTAATCCTCACAGTAAGTCTGTGATTTTGGTAAGATTGCCACAGTTTTACAGATGAATAAAACAAGGCAGAGAGAAGAGTAGTTTCCTTAAAGTCACACATCCGTTTAGCATCATCGCGTGGTAGGTAGAGCTGGAGCTCCAACCCAGATGTGTTTGTGAGGAGGAGTGAACGTTTCATGGAGAAGGTGGCGGAGTTGGGGTGAGGGTGGGGCTCGAAGACTTGACAGGATGGGGGGCAGCAGTGTCCCCTCAGGTCAGAACAGGCACAGAGAGGCAGCGGTGCACCCGGCGGCCAGGTGACTGGACCCGAGAACAGGGAATTAGCACCTAGAGCAGGTTGGGTAGGAAGTCAGTTAGCGGCAGGTAACCATGATAAGACTTGTGGAATGAGAGAATAAAGCTTGTTTTAGGATTTCTCCAGAGATCATATGAAGCAGAGCTTCTCACACGTCTGTGTGCATGCCAATCATCTGGTTGAGTAGTAAGGGGAAAATATGGAGGAACATACATACAAGGCACACTGCTGGGATTGTTTTCACTTAACTCAGACTGTGCACTGGGTTACAGCGCTTTGTACATCTTCACCTGCTTAACTCTAACAGCTATCTGAAGCCCCCGTTTTGCAGAAGGGAAAACAGAGTAACTTTCCAGCTCCTGTAGGTAGTAAGTGTTAGATCTACATTCCCATCCAGGCGGGGTAATGTGGGTTCAGTTTAGTTCTAGGTCCTTTCTCATTCTCTACTTGTACTGCTGGGTTGAATGTAGAGAAAGGGAACGCAGAATAAAGGATAAATCCTGGGTTTAAAGGACTAAAAATTAGAGGAATACTTGGGATGTATTAATTCAGTTTTTTCCCATTAAGAAGATAAATTGTGTTATAGGAGAGCAATTATCTTTTGCTTTACTTTAACCAAAAAGAAAACGAGCAAACACGTAAAGGAAGTAGATAATGTGGAAATCATTAAACAATATATTGAGATAATTTTAATAAGATATAATGTTGAGGGTCAGAGGGAGGATAGTATTTATAAAGCTGATTAATCAGTGTTTTATTGCTGATCAATGTGATATTCCATTTCAATTGTGCCTATTAATCTACCCCTTAAAATGGAACTTACAAAATTTGTCCCAAGACAGATTTATGAAGTAAAGATTTTGCTTTTTCTTTTCTGAATGACCTCTCTGTGACAGGTGAAGAAAGTTGTTGTGTATTTAGGTAGAGACAAGACAATGCAGTTGCTGGAAGAGCTGGTGAGTGAGCTGCAGCTGACCGACCCTGTCAGTGCAGGAGTCACGCACATGGATAACCCCCCGTATTACCGCATCACGTCCAGCTACAAAGTCCCTTCTGTCACCTCAGGTGAGAAGTTACAACTGGTTACTCTGTCTCAACAGAGAGGCTTTACCTAATTGTTCGTTTTAGCAAGCGTTTGCTTTAAACATCATCAAAATAAAAGCAAACATGAGTCATGTATGGTAATTAGCTTGACAAGATTTTGTAAATCCTCATATGACTGAAGAAATTTGACAATCTAAAGATTCTTAATATTTTAGAGAGAAACATTTATATACTTACTCAGAACCAGAATATAGATTTATATATCCTTGTATTCATTTTAGTGAATATAATTAATGTTCAATATAGAAAACACTAATTGAAATTACACTGTAATTTTATTTTTCATTACTTGAGCATATATTGTACATAGTGTCCAATTTTGTGAGTGAATATATCCATATATATATTATAGTTATTATATTATTTTGAATTGAAGAAACAAAGTCCCCGAGGGAATAACTTCCAGTGAAAATTGATTATAACATCTGGGATATTGTAGATTAAATTTTTATGAAACTCTGTTTATAAACACTCAGTTTGTATTAAATGTTTTTGGCCTGTTAATTATAACACTATCTGTATAATTAGAAATCTTACATATCTTTGAAATTTATTTTTGTCATCTATTTTTTTAAAAATATATATATTTTATTGATTTTTTACAGAGAGGAAGGGAGAGGGGATAGAGAGTTAGAAACATCGATGAGAGAGAAACATCGATCAGCTGCCTCCTGCACACCTCCTACTGGGGATGTGCCCGCAACCAAGGTACATGCCCTGACCGGAATCGAACCTGGGACCCTTGAGTCCGCAGGCCGACGCTCTATCCACTGAGCCAAACCGGTTTCGGCAGTCATCTATTTTTATCTCAGCCTTTTGTTCTACTTTCTTAGAGGATTTCTAATAATGCTTCTGTTGAATTTTCCATATCTGCTAGAATGTTTTTAATTCCAAAGAGGTTTTTTTTTATTAGAATTTCTTTACTAACACTCTGTTCATGTTTCATGGTTGAACTATCCACTTCTATATCTGACAAAGTTTTCTCCTCCCAGCATAAGTTCCTATTTTCTCTGTATTACTGTTTGTTTTGATTTGTCTTAGTAAAAGCTTTCCTCAGAAGCCTCCCGATTGTAGGTTGGTCTTTTCATAGAGTGGAGTATAAAAGAGTGGACTGGATGTGCTGTAGGAATATATGGAACTTGTTGACTCGTCATTTGTTATACGATGATCTCACTGATGCAAGTGTCTCTAGGACTTTTCTCTTGGACTAACCCAATTTCCCACACAAAACTCTACTACTCACATGTGCGCGCGCACACACACACAAATACATAAAATCCATAGATACACACAACATAGCCTTCTGGAAGCCCATGGGGTAAGAAGATTGCAGGGGGTACAGTCACAAATTTTAGTATGTATATTTTGATGTAATGCCCCTATTCTTCCTCCCTCAATTGGACATGGTGTCCTAGTCCAGAAATCTTCTGATTTAGTCTCATCAGAAATGATTTCTGGATGTGGAAAGAGACGGCCACCCAGTTATAAGAGGCAGGGGGATAGATCTTGGGGACCAACTACTTCAGCAATAGATTTTCAACCTATTCTGCCCTTTTTTTCTCTTTTTTTAATAGAGAGATGAAGGGAGAGTGATAGAGAGATAGAAACATCAATGATGAGAGAGAATCATTGATTGGCTGCCTCCTGCACGCCCCCTACTGGGGATCAAGCCTGAAACCCAGGCTTGTGCCCTGACCAGGAATCAAACCGTGACCCCCTGGTTCATAGGTCGACGCTCAATCACTGAGCCACACCGGCAGACCAAATTCTGACATTTTTAGCACCAACTTCAATCCTTACTTCCAGCGGTACTTGATGCCACTAATTTCTGAGCCTTTTTGGAGATTCAACAATATAGGTATGGAAGCTTCTTGGTTTCCTTAACTACCAGCTTAGGACTCGGCCTTCTTAATTTACTTCTTATCCATTGGCTTTTCAGCATCCAAATTTCTGTTGCTATTGTCTTCTTTCCTTCTTGGTCACTATGAGTACATTCCTTTTTAACAATGCCTTTGCTCTCATTTTACTGGAGTTTTGACATCTATAATTTGATGTGTTTTTCTCCTATTGAGTTATTACAGGTTTTAAATGCACGGATACTGTTTTGTTTCTGATTACAGGAACTACTTCCAGTAGCAATACCATGGTAGCTCCCTCAGAAGGCAATCTTGATAACAAGCCCATGAAAGAGAACGCTGAAGAGAGGTAAGCACTTGTCTGTCCTTCCTCAGCCTTTCAGTGGGACCGCGACTGAGTGTCGTCAGGGAAACGGCCATCTCTGGGTTGGGATGTGTATTCATTGGGTCAGAATCCTAGTGAAAAAATACATTCCCATTTTGGAAATTTTCCACATGGACTGTTTCAGCATTAAAGATGCTGATGTGCTAGACCCTTGTATGTTCTCTCAGGGATGAGCTGGTGGAGGATGGTCAGTGACTGTTGGTGTTTACATTTTTAAACTTTTCTCAGTGGATGTTTATTCTGCCTGTTTCCTATAAAACAGGTTTCACCAGAACATAATATTAGCACAACAATGTAACAAAAACCTTCAGGTAGAAATAATTGACTTATAAGCTTAAGCTTTTGGCTTGTGAGGTGAACAGTAATATGTTATCATGGTAAACTTTCATTAATATTTTGTGTACTGTGTTCTCTTTTAAGCATAGAGAGTGTAACGTAGAGTGCAAACACTGTTTTTCCATGAGCCGTGACTAACTGCAATGATCATTCCCCTAGCTATGTGCACCTAGACATCTACAGCGGACTAAACAGTCACTTAAACCGTCAACATCACAGACTAGAATCTCGATACAGTAGCAGCTCTGGAGGATCTTATGAAGAAGAAAAAAGTAATACATTCCAAATGTTCTTTTTTTATCATTACGATGGTGAGGTGTACTATTAATTATATTAATGCTAATCTCTTTTTCCAGTAACTTGTTTTTAAGAGGAGTATTTAACTGCCACTAGTGGTGTTCCAACATAACCTGAAATGTCTTGATTTTAAGAGACAGTATAAGTGGGGAATATTTGTTTTAAAAGCCCGGGTTCCCTGTAGCTAAATCAAGGGACTTAAAAAAATAGTTCTCAAAGAGCATCATGGAGCAGACCCTGGCAACAGGCTGCTTTTTTAATCAGGTGCTCTTTCTCCCCGGAATCCTGTTTTACTCGCGTTCTCCCTTGCAGTTGCAAAGTGAACAGTCTACCCAGGTTCACTGTGACTCTAGGGGAGGGTAGAATAGAAGCACAAGCCTTCAGACGGGAAGGGGCCCTGAAGATGGCCGGGTCCAGGCTCCTCATTTCGCACAGGATGGAACTGAGGTCCAGAGAGGTTAAGTGACTTACCCACGTCACACAGAACTCACATTTCCTGATGGCACGTTCTGTCACACCCTGCAGCCCCCCTGGTGCAGAGCGGCTTTCCTTTTCAGACGGGTTTTGTTGGCCCTCTCTCAGGAAATTTAGAATGAGCAACTTACCAGAAGGCCCTGTTACACGGCAGCTTCACCTGTAACGTGGTGACATGGCTTGGAGATCCATTATGGAACCATAAGAAACTGCTACTGTGGTTTCGCTTTGACGTAAAGGCCGCAACCTCAATTGGTATCTCCTCTCTCTCTCTCTCTGACTTGCTTAATTTGAGAATACCTATCCCCCAGGTCTTTCCTAGCAAACAAATGTCAAAAGAGTGGGAAATTGTTCTGATCACTTTCCAATGCTATGAATAGTTGGTGTCTTACTAGAGTTTGCTTATATTGGCAGAAAATAGCTGGTGTAGAAAATGAGATCATTTTATTTTGATAGGTGACTCAATGCCACTTTATTCTAATTGGCGACTGAAAGTGATGGAGCATAATCAAGGAGAGCCACTGCCCTTCCCACCAGCTGGAGGCTGCTGGTCACCACTGGTGGATTACTTGCCTGAAACGTCATCACCTGGATTACCTCTTCACAGGTGGACTACAGCGTCATTCCTATTTCATACAAGCCAAATTCTGCTTAACACTGTCAGCTTTCTCGATGCCATCTGACAGCATGGGAGACAAGCAACCTTCTTTCTTTAGATACCGCGACCAATGAGCTCAGTGCGTTTAGGTTTTGAGAAATCTGAAAACTCACAATTCTGACTGTATACGATGAGTATTATGAAATCTGAGTGTGCTGCTGCTTTTTCTGGGTGTCTGGCATAGTTACTTGACCTTTCTGGGACCCAGTTACTACATCTGAAAAGGACGATTCTTATGGTGGTAGGCACTGTTATTTTGAATTGAGTTAAACTGAACTTTACCTAACAGAATCACAGGAGAACAGTTACTGCATTCTTTGAAAATGTACTGATGCACCAAACACGCATTGAACACCTACTATGTGGCAAGCAGTGTGCCAGGTCTTAGGGTTGCAGATGAAGAAAAGATGGCCCTTGACTTGAAGGAGCCCTTAGCAGATGTTTTTTCCCCTAAAATTGTCACTTAACAGTTTCTTCGGCTGAATTCCTGTTTTTCTTGAGAAGTTGTATTTTTTTTTTTTTTTTTTACAAAATACAATGTTAAAGTCTTCAAGTGATTTGCATACAATTTTCTCTAGGTTTACTCCAGTGAAAACTTATAATAATACTCTTATTTGTCATAGGTGTAACATAGCAGTGATCCTTTTGACTGATCTGATCATTGATCATAGTGTGAAGGTTGAATGGGGAAGCTACCTCCATCTTCTTCTTCATGCAATTTTTATAGGTAATAAATATTTGACACTAATTCCTTCGTTTCATGTTTGTGTGATAACTGAAAGGCAGTATGACTTAACAAAGTTCCAACATGTTTATTTCTGTGTTTTTTCTGTGCCGTTTCCAAGACACTTCTCCCTGTGATTCTCGTGGTCTGGTGGGGTTCTTCTCAGCCTCTCTTTTAACCACAGACAAGTCTATCCCGTGGGGCCCTAACCTGTGGCCCCTCCCACTGCACACACAAATACACAGGCCCTCTCACAGGAATACTTCCGTAGCTGTGGCAAAAGTTAAATTAATCTGCCTCTGGGGTTGGAAACTTTCAGAGTAAATGGAAAATTAAAATGGGTTCTAAGTGTTTCCCAAAAGACTTGGCTTGTGGACAGTCTAGTCTGATTATTACAGGTGAAACTGCGCCTTGTGCAACAAACACTGGGCTCCATCACACCGAACAGTGCCTTTCATGCTTGTAAGATTGGTGTCAAGATAGCCGTCTTCCAAGTTTTCCAGATGTGCACATTCATAAATGTATTACTGCATTCCTTTGGTAATCAAGCATCTACTGACTTTCTGTTGTGTGCTGGGCACAGAAGATATTTGCCTTTTTAAAATCATTTATCTAGTGTTATGTAACAGAGTAATTAATTTTTAAGATTACACATAAAACTCATTGAAACTTACCTCCTGGATTTTCTCCATTTCAATAGGACAGTAGGCTATGGTGCACAAACTCTAGGCCAGCGGTTCTCAACCTGTGGGTCGCAACCCCTTTGGCGGTCGAACGACCCTTTCACAGGGGTTGCCTAAGACCATCCTGCATATCAGATATTTACATTACGATTCATAACAGTAGCAACATTGCAGTTATGAAGTAGCAACGAAAATAATTTTATGGTTGGGTCACAATATGAGGAACTGTATTTAAAGGGCCAGAAGGTTGAGAACTGCTCTAGGCCAATAAAAAACTTTATGTAGTGTACCATCTTCCACAAAATATTTTAATTTTTTAAAAAATATATTTTTATTGCTTTCAGAGAGGAAGGGAGAGGGAGAGAGAGATAGAAACATCAATGATGAGAGAGAATCATTGATCAGCTGCCTCCTGCACACCCCACACTGGGGATCGAGCCTGCAACCCAGGCTTGTGCCCTGACTGGGAATCAAACCATGACCTCCTGGTTCGTAGGTTGATGCTCAGCCACTGAGCATGCTGACTGGGCCCACAAAATATTTTATATAATTTCTGCATTTTAAAATACTAATTTGGTATCAAGAATGCTCATTATTCCTCTTTACTGATGATTATTTTCTACTCTTCCTTTCAGGGTTTGACCACTGCCACCCTGAGGTGTATGAACATTGTAAACGTCTGCTTCTGCACTTGTTAATAGTGATGGGACCCAACAGTAACATCCGGACTGTTGCTTCTGTCCTCCTCAGGAACAAGGAGTTTAATGAACCCAGGGTGCTCACAGTCAAACAGATTGCACACTTAGATTACACTTTCACAGGTATTTGCTTTAAATGTATCATTTGAAAGTGGAATCGTACTTCATTAATTTAAAATTGTGCAATAGAGAAAATCAAGTAAATAAAAGTTGAAATACTGGAGTACATTTTTTTAAATGTAGTTTTATTATTTTAATACCATTGTCATTTTGTATTGACCAGTAAAAGAAGGAATTAAGTTTGGAATATTTGAGTCTGTATTGGTTTTAAGTCTCTTTGTCATAGAAGTTTTTTTTTTAACTGTGTTGTTATTGATTTCAGAGAGGATGGGAGAAGGAGAGAAATATCAGTGATGAGAGAGAATCATTGATAGGCTGCCTCTTGCACATCCCCCACTAGTAATTGACCTCCTGATTCATAGGTCGATGCTCAACCAATGAGCCACACCAGCTGGGCTGTCATAGAAATTTTAAGTTCTGAACATATAAGTTGAAGATACAATGAAAGAGTGCTTAATTTACTAAGCACTGGTCATCAAAAATATGTTGAACTTTATTAGATCCCTCCTAATGTCAAGATCTGAAATATTGACAAAGGAAGACATTACAAATTTTTTTTATTCACTTGATTATATTTACTGCATTTAAAATGTTATACATTTTTATTGTATCACCTGGTCAAACATCTTTATAAAACTTTATGTCCATAACTAATGATAAGTAAATAAATAAAATACAATGTTACACATTTTGAAGTATATTAAGTTTCAAATCACACATTTTAAAGTAATGAGGTTTGAATGAATGAAAATCTAATATAAAATTTACTTCATGCCCTAACCCGGTTTGGCTCAGTGGATAGAGCATCGGCCTGTGGACTGAAAGGTCCCAGGTTCAATTCCAGCCAAGGGCATATACCTTGGTTGCGGGCACATCCCCAATAGGAGGTGTTGCAGGAGGCAGCTGATCGATGTTTTTCTCTCATCGATGCTTCTAACTCTCTCTCTCTCTCTCTCTCTCCCTTCCTCTCTGTAAAAAATCAATAAAATATTTTTTTAAAAAAAATTTACTTCACTGTTGATGTGAATTATTTTTTTCTTTGAAAGTCATACTTCTTTCCTAATAGCCATAACTTATTTATTCCATTCATCAGTATCAGTGTCCTTAGGTTAATAATTGATGATCTAGAAAATACTTGTTTTTAGAAACTGAAATAAAATTACTTTGTAAGTTAAAACTGTGTTATATAACCCTATACCTAGTAAAACAACAATTATTGGGAAATTTATTCACCTTTTAAAATATGATTAAAAGATGCATAGAATGAAGTTTACTGCCTTTTTATGTTAAAGGTGTTTGCTCTTGTTTGTTTTTAAGGCTCCTTTTGCCATTTTCTAAAGATGGTCCTTAGTAATATCCTTTAATATTATTTAATAATTGACATAATATAAATATTACAAATAGACTTTAAAATTGTCTTCCTTTAGGTAAAATGAATCAGAAAGTATAGAGTCTTTTCCATAACAAAAATCAGTTCACATCAGAGAAATGTGACTGACTTACAAGTAATAAATGTTGAGGAAATACACTGAAATATTGGGGAAATGCCACTTTCACCTTTGGGCAGCAGATGGCAGCAGAGGACTGCACAGTAAATACAAATGGTTACGTTAATAACAGGCTGAGATCATGTTTGCCCAAAAACTCCATCAGAAGGAGCGAGTCTCTCACGCATGCCAGATAGTCTGTAAGGCATGATAGTTAATTCAGTAAATACTGTGTGAGGTTTCCTTATGCCTGGTATTCATGCCCGCCTTTCTCTTTCAGCAGGTGTTAGTGATTTTATACCTGATTACCAGCCCTCCCCTATGACTGACTCAGGGCTTAGCTCAAGTTCTACCTCTTCTAGTATCAGCTTAGGAAACAACAGCTCAGCCATTTCCCATCTGCACACCACTGTCCTCAGCGAGGTTGACATCTCTGTGGAGCAGGACGGAAAAGTCAAGACCCTCATGGAATTCATTACCTCAAGGTAACAGTGACACCTCTTACCGTCTGGCAGCATGCATGTGCGAAGTTGTTCCTTCATTTGTCAGTGACAGAGAGCCCTATTTTTTTCTGAGGTGCCATTGCTTGGAAATACACCGGTCTATATCGTCCACTATTAATAAGATCATGGTGCACCAAAGCATTCTTCTGTCGCGTTCACACTGTTGTACCCAAGGAGGGCCTTACTTGTGCCTGGAGACCAAGTGCCCAAAGAGAATGCTATATTATCTAAGTTTTACATATGCCACTTGCCTTAGCTACTTACCCAGTCAACCATCAAGTATTTATTTGTGGTGCACTCTTTGCAAGGCACTGAAAGTAAAGATACTGAGAAGGGGAGGAACGGGCTGGTATTCCACAGCAGGAGCAAAATCTCAGGGGCGTGAGGAAACGGGCTGTAATCCAGTCCGGCTGTAACGCTGAGGAAAGGGAGTTTCTAGACAAGAGAGCTCGGGAGAAGGCAACCTGGAGGGCCATGAAGCCTCAGCCATAGGTTACAGATCTTTTCTCTTTCAAGGAAGAAGACATTATTGAAAACTAGTGGCCCGGTGCACGAAATTCATGCACAGGGGTGTGTCCCTCAGCCCGGCCTGCACCCTCTCCAATCTGGGACCCCTTGGGGGATGTCCGACTGCCGGTTTAGGCCCGATCTTTGGGGCAGTCAGACATCCCTCTCACAATCCAAGACCGCTGGCCCCTAACCGCTCACCTGCCAGCCGGCCTGATCACCCCCAACTGCCCCCCCTGTTGGCCTGCTTGCCCCCAACTCACACCCCTTTCAGCCTACTTGCCCCCAACTGCCCCCTGCTGGCCTGATCATCCCAACTGCCCTCCCCTCCTGGCCTGATTGCCCCTAACCACCTCTGCCTCAGCTCCGCCACCATGGCTTTGTCTGGGAGGATGTCCAGGTCTCCCGGAAGGTCTCCCAGTCTAATTAGCATATTACCCTTTTATTAGTATAGATACTTGAGCTGAATGGGGAAGGTGGGAGAGACAGTCAGCCTCTTAGCATTGTGTGGGATGGCAGGGGCTGAAGGCAGCATGGCCACAGAAAAGGTTTTCAGGGCACTTTGAGTGTAACCCTTATTAATCAAGTTGGTGGCCTTGAGAATACAAAAACGTTTTAAAGGAAGAATCAACAGGACATTATCCCGTCCTAAACGTTCCCTGTGGCTTTCACTAGTTAATGATGGTCTTGCATTACAATCTAAGTGCAGTCTAGCCTCTACAAACATAATGTATTGGCCTGTAACACAGACGCAGTGACCAGTACTCTTCTCGCTTGGCAAAACTTGTCATCTTTCCCTGCTACCCGTGAGCGAATTTGACTGTAACGATGGAAGACGGCAATGCTGCCCATCCTGGCTCTTCCCCTACCTGCGCGGCTCACTGCTTATCCATGTACATAAACAGTAATAGGAGGGTGTGACCGTGACACGCTATTGGATGTACTCAAGTGTGACCCTTTCTAATTGCAATGGTGTGTGTTAGGTCAGTATGAGTAAAACTGTCAATACGAGTTAAAAACCAAAGGAATTGCATCTGTTCTCTGTTTTCAGAAAAAGAGGGCCCCTTTGGAACCATGAGGACGTTTCCGCCAAGAACCCCAGCATAAAGAGTGCTGAGCAGCTGGCCGCGTTCCTGAAACACGTGGTTTCTGTTTTCAAGCAGTCCAGCGCAGGTATCTTTCCGTGTTTGAGATAATATTTCCCTTCCACAAGATATTTTAAGGTGATGTCAAAACTTCTGATAATGTTTAGCAAAAAGCAGACATATCAATATGCTTAAAATATAAAGTTTTAGGCAGGTTTTCTTTTTTTACTTATTAGTGATAACAGATTTGTTTTTCTTTGAAGAAAAGTTCAGTTACTCCTTTAAAATAAAGGTATTTGGGACTTTCTGGGGTGCTTAGTTTCGTGTATGATGGTATCATGAAATTATAGTAAACTAGAGGCCCGGTGCACGTATTCGTGCATGGGTGGGGTTCCTTGTCCTGGCTGGTGATAGCGGCCGTCTCACCCAGTCCCGATCGGGGGCCAGCCAGCTGTGGGGAGGGACCGCGGGAGGTTGGCTGTGGGAGCGCACTGACCACCAGGGGGCAGCTCTGCGTTGAGCATCTGCCCCCTGATGGTCAGTGTGCGTCATAGCTACTGGCTGGTCATCCGGTCGTAAAGGTCGCTTAGGCTTTTATATATATATATAGATAGATTGTGTCAGAAAAAATTACATTAAAGAACATATGTAGGGGTGACAAACTTAAAAATTCTTTTTTATACAGGTATTGGCTTCTGTGATCTAAAATGTAACACATTCTGAAAGTTATAATAAAAGTGTGGTGAAGCC